GCAGAGGAGGACCTGGTGGTACAGAGGAGGACCTGGTGGTACAGAGGAGGACCTGGTGGTGATACAGAGGATGACCTGGTGCTACAGAGGAGGACCTGGTGGTACAGAGGAGGACCTGGTGGTGATACAGAGCATGACCCGGTGGTGATACAGAGGATGACCCGGTGGTACATAGGATGACCCGGTGGTGATACAGAGGAGGACCTGGTGGTGATACAGAGGAGGACCTGGTGGTGATACAGAGGAGGACCTGGTGGTACAGAGGAGGACCTGGTGGTACAGAGGAGGACCTGATGATACAGAGGATGACCCGGTGGTGATACAGAGGATGACCCGGTGGTGATACAGAGGAGGACCTGGTGGTGATACAGAGGATGACCTGGTGGTGATACACAGGAGGACCTGGTGGTGATACACAGGAGGACCTGGTGGTGATACACAGGAGGACCTGGTGGTGATACAGAGGATGACCTGGTGGTGCAGAGGAGGACCTGGTGGTGCAGAGGAGGACCTGCTGGTGATACAGAGGAGGACCTGGTGGTACAGAGGATGACCTGGTGGTGCAGAGGAGGACCTGGTGGTGCAGAGGAGGACCTGGTGATACAGAGGATGACCTGGTGGTGCAGAGGATGACCTGGTGGTGCAGAGGATGACCTGGTGGTGCAGAGGATTTGGGGGCGTCAGTGTCAGTGTTGTAGCAGATGGATTGGGGGCGGGGCTTAGGGCAGATGTGAGGCTGTGATTGGCTGGAGTGATTTCATCGACTCGGGGATAATCTCATAACGAGCCTCAGACTGATCTGATTAAACAGCGTCTGTCACGTCCTCACGGTGTCCGACAGCGCCCCCTGCTGCCCGACACACGCCTCTGATACACATTTTACTCCTGAATGACAAAACTAGAGTGACCAGACGTCTCTGCTGACCCGGGACTGTCCCAGTTTTGAGTCTGTGTCCCCTGTCCCAGCAGATTTATACAAAACCACTGATTTGTCCCAGTTTAATAGAAAAAATGTCCCTATTTTTGACCAATCTGATCCCTGCCAACAGTAAAAAGAGACATAAATTATCATTTGTTGAGGTAAAATACAAAAAATCATCTTAAAAATGATCAAAACACAAAGAAAATTGGACCATTCTGACTCATATTAGACCCAAGTGCATAACAATTTTTCTTAATTACACATTTGTTTCTCAGTTTTATTACCAACCAACTCAAACCAGGGATGTCCCAGTTTTTTAGTGTCTCCTGTCCCAGCAGATTTATAAAAAACCACTGAGTTGTCCCAGTTTTATACAAAAAAATGTCCCTAGTTTTGACCAATCTGATCCCTGCAACAGTAAAAAGAGACATAAACTGACTTTTTTTTTTTAGTAAAATTACAGAAAACACAAAGAAAATGTGACTGTACTGTTCTCATGTTCGTCGTGAAGGGGCAGAGTGCAGAACAATTTCATTAACTGCGCACTTGTTTCAGAATTTTGTAGGTGGTTTTCAGATTCTAGAACACAGGTGTCAAACATACGGCCCAGGGGCCAGATCCGGCCCTCCAAGATCTTTAATCTGCCCCCCTGGTGATTTTCTACTAAAATATTTGAATTATATTTTCTATTAAAATCTTGTTAATTTTGTGTGGTGTTTATCACAGCAGCGTCTCCAGCGTCTCTGTACGTGGCCCCTCCCACCAGAGCAGCACAAATGAAGACTTGTCTCTTTCCAAACGCTCTTAAAGGACGATCGTTTTGACTGTTGACCGTGACACCCTCATCAGAAAAATGTCCAACATGAGAAAAGTGGAGCCAAGTGCAGGATTTTACAACAAAAATGGACTTATTCCTGTTTACAGACAAGTTCATGTTAAAACTTTGTGTTGAAATTGTATTTTTCTTAAAGTTTCAGGTTGTTCATAATATTATAATATTTTGTAAAAGAAAGAGTTCATCAATTTAAAAAAGATTTCTGTAATAGATTTGTGTTTCTCTGCACAAATATTTGAACTTATTGTTATTTTGGGGTTTATATGACATGAGTTTTCTGATCCGGACACTTTGGGATCAAAGTCGGTTGGATACGACGCCCGGAACAAAATGAGTTTGACACTCCTGGGTTAGACTGTGATGATGTCACTTCCAGTTTTTTTTTTTTTTTTTTTTTTCCTGTAGATCACGTTGTACTTTGTCACAAAATATACATAAATGTTGAACATGATCATTTCTATTATCAACTCGACTCAGACGTAATTTTGGCTGCCCAGAAAAGTTACACAATGCAGCTTTAACGACGCCTGGACACGCGAGCTGTCACTTTATGGGCTTGTGCTGCCCCCTGCTGACGTCACGCGCAACTGCACTTTTACCAGAGCGGCTCAGTCCTCACTTACATTTACTTGAGTAACTTTTTAAAGAAGTCGTATTTTTCCAGCAACGTAATTTTACTTCTACTTGAGTAAAAGTTGTGTTTCCTCTTCCCGCTGTGAGTCTAAAAGCTTCACGTGACGATATGAAATGATTTGAATGTTTGTGTTTCTTGCAGCTTCTTCAGATTTGATTTAGTTTGTCACATTTTCGTGTCTGTCCTTTAAAAAACACCAGATTTTGTGATTTATTTAACATTTTGTCCTTCAAATTATAAATCAGATGTTACGTCCTGACTGTTCCTCTTACATGAGCAGTACCCTCGTTTTCCTAAATACTTTTTAACTTTTTTTTTTACTTCAACCATGTAGGAGCTATTAAATTTGTTTATTATTTTTGTTTATATCAATTCTTCTACTAATTTAGTTTTAGTTTTAAATTGCATATATTTTTTCTATCTTGATATTTCTTATGTTTGCAAATTTAGTCTAATTTACTGTTATTTGCTTCAGCACTTTTTCAGTTTTTTGGTTTAATCCGTGAGGCATCAGTGTTTCCCAAACTTTTTTTCTGGGGACACATATTTTAAAAGTCACAATTGCGTCCCATTATTCGTAAATCACAAAATAAAGGTGGATTTGAGAATTACCGAACATTAACATTTGAGGATATTGAAAAAAATCAAGTTTTAAACAATGAAAAACAGTCACTGAAGGATCCATAAGTCGCCAGTTTCTTTTTCTTTTAAACATTCAATTGAAGCAGCAAAACTGGAACAAAATAGTCAATAAAATAATTACAAAAAAGATTAGAAATGATACAAAACACGTCTTAACATTTCTACATTTCTAATTTTTGTGGTGTTCAGTTCAGGTGCAGGAGGAGACGCAGCAGCAGATCAGGAGCAGACACCAGGATTTAATCAGGTCTAAACCAGGTCTAAACTAGGTCTAAACCAGGACTAAACCAGGACTAAACCAGGACTAAACCAGGACTAAACCAGGACTAAACCAGGTCTGAACCAGGTCTGAACCAGGACTAAACCAGGACTAAACCAGGACTAAACCAGGTCTGAACCAGGACTAAACCAGGACTAAACCAGGACTAAACCAGGTCTAAACCAGGACTAAACCAGGACTAAACCAGGTCTAAACCAGGTCTAAACCAGGACTAAACCAGGACTAAACCAGGACTAAACCAGGACTAAACCAGGTCTAAACCAGGACTAAACCAGGACTAAACCAGGACTAAACCAGGTCTAAACTAGGTCTAAACCAGGACTAAACCAGGACTAAACCAGGTCTGAACCAGGACTAAACCAGGACTAAACCAGGACTAAACCAGGACTAAACCAGGACTAAACCAGGACTAAACCAGGTCTAAACCAGGACTAAACCAGGACAAACCAGGTCTAAACCAGGACAAACCAGGTCTAAACCAGGACTAAACTAGAAAAGCAGTCAGAGAGCAGTCTTCTGGATCAGATCCGGATCAGCCTTTGGAATATGAAAGAGGATCACATTGTCCATCCCTGAGTCAAATTTCATGGGGTTTGGTCAATAATTAACCCAGATATTGAGAAACAAAATTTTTGGCCCCATTTACCACAATGTTAACTAAAATTTCAAAGTGATCCAGAATCCAGGATTTCTTCCGGATCAGCCCCAAAATGAAACCAGTTCTTCCTTTTCACATTTCCAACAAATCCTGAAAATTTCATCAAAATCAGTCCATAACTTTTTGAGTTATGTTGCTAACAGACAGACAAACAAACAAACAAACAAACAGACAAACAAACAGACAAACAAAAACAACAAACAAACAGACAAACAAACAAACAGACAAACAAACAAACAAACAAACAGACAAACGCCGGCAAAAACATAACCTCTTTGGCGGAGGTAACCAGGACTAAACCTTGCCGTTCCATCCTTGAAATATTGTTGAACATAAAACCGTTCCATGGAGCTAAAAAGGTTGAAGACCTGGTTTAGTCCTGGTGTAGACCCGGTTTAATCCTGTTTTAGACCTGGTTTAGTCCTGGTTTAGACCTGTTTTAGACCTGGTTTAGACCTGGTTTAGTCCTGGTTTAGACCTGGTTTAGTCCTGGTTTAGACCTGGTTTAGACCTGGTTTAGACCTGGTTTAGTCCTGGTTTTACAGACCTGGTTTAGACCTGGTTTAGACCTGATTTAGTCCTGGTTTAGACCCCTGGTTTAGACCTGGTTTAGACCTGGTTTAGACCTGGTTTACACCTGGTTTAGACCTGGTTTAGACCTGGTTTAGACCTGGTTTAGACCTGGTTTAGACCTGGTTTAGTCCTGGTTTAGACCTGGTTTAGACCTGGTTTAGACCTGGTTTAGACCTGGTTTAGTCCTGGTTTAGACCTGGTTTAGACCTGGTTTAGTCCTGGTTTAGACCTGGTTTAGACCTGGTTTAGACCTGGTTTAGTCCTGGTTTAGACCTGGTTTAGTCCTGGTTTAATCCTGTTTTAGACCTGGTTTAGTCCTGGTTTAGTCCAGACAAATAAGGGTCAAAGGTCCATTTACAGCTCAGTATTTTTCACAAACAAATATTTCTTCATTTTAACAAACAGTTGTCAGATTTTGGAGCCCGACCTGGACAAAACAGAAACTCTGAAAACATTTTTCTCACCCTGGAGAGTTTATTTTATTTATTTATTTTTTAACATTTGATGGTGAACTAAAGCAAAAACTGATAAAAACTGTTTTGGTAATCACTTATAAAGAGTAAAATAATAAAAAGTGGGTCTGTCCTGGTGGAGATCTGCAGCCAAACTCTGGTAAATTATTTGGATTCTCACTTTCCTTCTTCCTCGATGGTGAATCTTTGGAGTTTTTTTTACTGTATCTGTGGGAGAAACGCCGTGTCTTCAGGGTTGAACCAGTTGAGTCCGAGTCCGACGAGCAGAGGCTGAGTGAAGCTCGTCTGGACTCTGTGGAGGAGGCGGACGCTGCGTTTTTGAGTCACGCTGTAAAACGCCAAAACCCCCGCGCCGTGGTCCACGTAAACCCCGATCCTGGACGAGACCGGACCCGGGACCTTGGTCTGGACTCCGTCGGACCAGAAAGAGTACCCGTCGCGGTCGCAGTCCAAGGCCCAGGATTTGTCGTTGAAGCCGAGTCCGCTGTGCGTTCCCTTCCTGTCGGCGTCGCCGTAGGCCACTCCGACCCTCAGCCTCCTCCCGCTCCACTCCACCTCACAGTAGCAGCGCTCCGTCAGGCTCTCCCTGCTCAGGACCTGCCCCCGGCCCGTGAACCTGTGCGGGTGCTCGGGGTAGCTCTGGTTCTCCCGCTCCACCGTGACCCTCCTGTTGTCGTGGGACAGGGTGAGCCTGCAGTGGGCCGTGTCCGGGTCCAGGGTGAGGTTCTGCGCGTGCTGGAGCAGAGCGTCTCTGGTGCTGGCAGGAGACACTAAACTGTAGTTCTGCTTCAGGGCCTGGGAGACGTCGCTCAGACCCTCGTCCACTGTCTGCTGGAGCTTCTCTCGGAGCTCGGACAGAGCTCTGGTGACGTCCTCGTAGAAGCTCTGGGAGCCTGTGTGGACCCGGCCCTGGACTGTCCCCTGTGTGTGTGTGGGCAGAGAGGAGTGGACCTGAATAAACCGGTTATGATCCTGGGTGAGGGCCAGTGAGTCCAGCTCAGAGAGGCTCCTCTTCAGCTCCGTCACGTCCTGCTGCAGTTGGTCCTGGAGCTCTTGGACTCGGCTCAGTTGGATCTGCTCCTGGGAGCGGATCTGCTGCTCCACTGCACAGCGCCGCTCCTCCAGGAGGAGCACCATGTCTCTGAAACTGTCCCCGCTGAGCTGCACCGCGGTCTGGGCGGAGCGTCTGATGTCCTGGGCCTCCTGCTGGAGCCTCTGGAGGTCAGTCTGTTTGTGCTGGAGGTTCTGGAGCAGCTGGGCTCTCCTGGCCGGGAGCTCGGTCTGTCTCTGAGCTCTTTCTGAGGCACTCGTCACCGTGTCGTGGCCTTTGTGTTGGTCCATGGAGCAGAGGAAACAGATGCTCTGCTGGTCACTGCGGCAGAACAACTTCTTCACCTCGTTGTGTTGGGAGCACAGGTTCTCCATGAGCGAGTGCGACGGCGCCACCAGCTGGTGCTTCTGTAGAACTGCTACATCTCGATGAGGCTGTAGGTGGCGCTCACAGTAGGAGACCAGACAGTGCAGACAGGACTGAACGGCTTTAAGCTTCCTCCCAGGACACACGTCACAGGACACGTCTGGAGGTCGGGCATAGCAGTGGTCAGCAGGGGGCGCTGTGAACCCACTCTTCACCTGCTCCACTAGAGACGTGAGTAAAGTGCTCCTGCCCAGGACGGGCCGGGGGCTGAAGGTGAGGCGACATTCAGGACAGCTGTACTTCTGTTTGTGCTGCTCCTCTTTGTCCCAGTGGTGCTGGACACAGCTCAGACAGTAACTGTGTCCACAGGGGACGGTCACCGGGTCCTTCAGAAGGTCCAGACAGATGGGACAGAAGAAGATTTCCTGGTCCAGTCCGCTGTGCGCCATGACTCTGAGTCTGAGTCAGGCACTTTCACTTCAGCAGTAAAAGGAAGTGAAGAGTGAGTGCCCCGGATGCCCCGCCCACAACTCTGTCACCGAGAGGAGGAACCAGGAAACACTGAGACCTGCCAGCGTGACGACTGAGGCCAAAGTGCAAACACTCCTCCACGTTACATCACAAACAGAAGCTGCTCCACATTCAGAGGGTGTGAACCACTCACAGGATTAAAGGACAGAGGCTGAGTTTGGTAAATAAGACGATAAATCAAAACACAAGCAAATCACTGCACAGAGAACGAGGTTCAAGATAAACTCGTCCTGCTGGTTCAGCTGCATCCACCAAACACCAGGATCTAACGTGTAAACACACGAACACCAGAACACGAGAGTCACTGAAGCATAAACACAGAACAGCTCTCAGACACGATGAGCACGAGGGGTTAGAGCGGCTCACAGGAGAAAAGTCTGGACATGTTTGGATCAGCTGTAAGTGCTCTGTGCTCCTGCAGAAGCTGCACTAGCACTGAGTCATGATCAGTGCCGGTGCTCGGACCAGAGAGATCAGAGAGACGCATTTCTGATTGGATAATTCGCCCAAATGATCGAACCAAAACACCAAACTATAACATAAATGAACCATCGTGTGCAGTGTTTTTGTAATGAAGAATAAATCAGCATTAAGAGTTTGTTTTTTTTAGCAGTATTTGATTTTTATTTTATTATTATTTGATGTTTACCTCGTACCTGGGACACAAATAAATTATAATAAGTCAATCAAACTCATCTCCAACTTAAATAATGTAATTGTTTCGCAGATGTGACACAGACTGTTCAGTGTGTTGGGAATAACAGTGTGTGAAATAAGGATAATGAAGGATAATTTTTACTCTCTCGCTCATCCAAACTGGACTTAATAAAATAATTTCACGTGATAAAGGCCGGGTCTTGCGGGAGGTGAGTACGGCGCAGGGGTCAGGGGTCAGCGGGGTCAGCGGGGGTCACCAGGGCCAGGAGGGTGACGCTGTAGACTCTCACTGCGTCTGCCTTCACGGTGAGGGACACACAGCTCTGCAGCACGTGATGAGGCTGAAGAACACACACACAAACCTTCAACGAGCTGGAACTAGTTCATTTGACACCGTTCGCATTGGTCCAGGGTTATTTTTCACTTATTTTCTGCGTTTATTGTGTTTTTATAATAAATCTGCGCTGGGGTGAGACGCACTTGTACCTTGTGTCCACCAGGGGGCGTCCAGGTCACGGTGACGGTGCGAGCGGTGCCGGGCTCCAGGGCTCCTCGGGTGGGATCTACGTTAAAGCCCTGCTGCTGTACGGATCCAGAGAGCTCCCACACAAACTCTGCACTCTGCACACACACAAATACACACACAAATACACACAGACACAAATACGCTCTGAATCTCAACCAAATATGTGCCAAAAGTTTATTCAAGAGTGGGTATTACGCAAAATCAATGTTTAAAATTCTCTCTAGTGCTCTGTAGTGGTTGTGTCTTATGTTTCCATTACAGTTACACAGTTAGACTGAAGTCACAGTGTTTGGTCGACAGAAACATGGAGACAGTGTCAGCATCACCTCCAGTCTCTCTCTCTGAAACCTTCAAATCAGGCAAGAAATCTCAGGGTAATAATGGACCCAGACTTGAACTTTAACAGCCACATCAAATCAACAACATCTGCAGTTTTTTTACGTCTAAAAAACATCACAAAAATCAAAAGTTTAGTGTCTAAATCAGACGTGGAGAGACTTATCCATGTGTTTGTCTCCAGTAGGTTAGATCCTGTAACAGCCTCTCACTGACGCTGCACAACATCCAGAACATCCAGAACATCCAGAACATCCAGAACGCTGCAGCTCGGGTCCTGACTCGAACTAGGAAGTACGAGCACATAAGTCCTGGTCTCAGGTCTCTGCTCTGGCTCCTGTGGCTCAGAGACTTTAAAGTGTCTCTGTTTGTACAAGTGTCTCTACGGCCGAGCACCAAAGTCCATCTGTGACATGTTAGTGTCATATGAACATCTCACACTCTGAGGAGCTCAGGGACCAACTCCTGCTGGTGCCCAGAGTCACGACTAAACACGAGGAGTCAGAGTTTCAGGTTCATGCAGCTAAAACCTGGAACAGTCTGAACATGTGAGACAGACTCTTCTGTGACGCTGTTTAAATCCAGACTCAAAACATTTCTGTTTATCTGTGTCTGACTGAAAGGTTTCACTCTGCACTCTTCTCTCTCATTTAATGTCTCTCTCTTTTTAATTTTAGGATGATTATTTATGTTTTAATTTACTTTGTGTACGAATTGTGCTGCAGCTGTAGTGCTTTTATTTTAGAAGTGTTTTTTTTTAATGACATTTTTGTAAGGCAGCCTCACTTTTTCACTGCTTAGTTATTAACTCTCTTACTCTCTTTTTTTTTTTTTTTTTTTTTTTAAGTTACTAACTTATTATTTATTGCTTTTTTTTTTTTTTTTTTTTTTTTTTTTTTTTGAGTTTGTGTGGGGGTGAAAAAAAATAGAACATGTATATTATGATGTATGTGGACAAAAAAGCACTGAATAAATTACAAATTATAAAAAAAAAATTTAAAAAAACTCTCTTACTCTCTTTTTTAATTTTATTTTATTTTTTTAAGTTACTAACTTATTATTTATTTTTTTTTTTGGATTTTTTTTTTTTTTTGAGTTTGTGTGGGGGTGAAAAAAAATAGAACATGTATATTATGATGTGTATGTGGACAAAAAAAGCACTGAATAAATTACAAATTATAAAAAACAAAAAAACAAAACTCTCTTATGCTCTTTTTTAAATTTATTTATTTATTTTTTAAAGTTACTAACTTATTATTTCTTTTTTTTTTTTTTTTTTTTTTTTTTTTTTTTTTTGTGTGTGTGTGTGTGGGGGGGATAGAACATGTATATTATGATGTATGTAGACAAAAAAAGCACTGAATAAATTACAAATTATAAAAAAAAAAAAAAAAAACTCTCTTACTCTCTCTCCATAATATTTTCTGTTTCTAATGTGGCCCCATAGAAAAAATAATTGCTCACCCCTGGATTAAACATTTCTCAAACCTGCACGAATCACAGTTATTTGAGGGGAAACAACAATCACACGTTTAAAAAGCTCTGAAAAGGCCGTTCTGCAGTAAAACGGTCATATGTGTGCTGTTGTTTGTCGTGAGAGGACTGACCTTCTTGCTGGGCGGCGTGGAGCGGACACAGCCCACCTGCAGCTGTCTGACCGCGGGGACCCTCTGACCGGAGCTGCCCGGGGCCCTCAGGGTCACCAGCACCGGGGTGGGCTCGTCCTCTGGAACAGCACAAACGTCTCAGCGGAGGAGCACAACCAAGAGACTGACTGAGCTATTTTCAGTGTTGTGAAGGTGACTTTTAAAATGTAATCCCCTACAGATTACAGATTACACACCCCAAAATGTAGTTCGTAACAGAAAACATTAAATTACTTAAAGTGAGTAATGTAATCTGAATACTTTGGATTACTTGATTTACTTGGCCCAGACTTTACTGAACCAAATTAAAAATATTATTGACAGAAGACGAGGAGACACGGTTTAATCCTGTTAAATCCTGTTTTAGACCTGGTTTAGACCCGGTTTAGTCCTGGTTTAGACCTGGTTTTGACCTGGTTTAGACCTGGTTTAGTCCTGGTTTAGACCTGGTTTAGACCTGGTTTAGTCCTGGTTTAGTCCTTTGTTTAGTCTGGTTTAGACCTGGTTTACCTGGTTTAAGACCTGGTTTAGACCTGGTTTAGACCTGGTTTAGTCCTGGTTTAGTCCTGGTTTAGTCCTGGTTTAGACCTGGTTTTAGAGACCTGGTTTAGTCCTGGTTTAGTTTCCTGGTTTTGACCTGGTGGTTTAGACCTGGTTTAGACCCCTGGTTTAGTCCTGGTTTAGACCTGGTTTAGTCCTGGTTTAGTCCTGGTTTAGTCCTGGTCCTGGTTTAGTCCTGGTTTAGTTTAGTCCTGGTTTACCTGGTTTCCTGGTTTAGACCTGGTTTAGTCCTGGTTTAGACCCTGGTTTAGTCCTGGTTTAGACCTGGTTTAGTCCTGGTTTAGACCTGGTTTAGACCTGGTTTAGTCCTGGTTTAGACCTGGTTTAGTCCTGGTTTAGTCCTGGTTTTTGGTTTAGTCCTGGTTTAGTCCTGGTTTAGACCTGGTTTAGTCCTGGTTTAGACCTGGTTTAGACCTGGGTTTTAGTTTAGTCCTGGTTTACCTGGTTTACCTGGTTTAGACCTGGTTTAGTCCTGGTTTAGTCCTGGTTTATTTCCTGGTTTAGTCCTGGTTTAGACCTTCCTGGTTTAGACCTGGTTTAGTCCTGGTTTAGACCTGGTTTAGTTTCCTGGTTTAGTCCTGGTTTAGTCCTGGTTTAGACCTGGTTTAGACCTGGTTTAGACCCTGGTTTAGTCCTGGTTTAGACCTGGTTTAGTTTACCTGGTTTAGTCCTGGTTTAGACCTGGTTTAGTCCTGGTTTAGACCTGGTTTACTGGTTTACCTGGTTTAGACCTGGTTTGACCTGGTTTAGTCCTGGTTTATTCCTGGTTTAGACCTGGTCCTGGTTTTGGTTTAGTCCTGGTTTACCTGGTTTACCTGGTTTAGTCCTGGTTTACCTGGTTTAGTCCTGGTTTAGACCTGGTTTTAGTCCTGGTTTAGTCCTGGTTTATTCCTGGTGGTTTACTGGTTTAGTCCTGGTTTAGTCCTGGTTTAGTCCTGGTTTAGTTTATTCCCCTGGTTTAGACCTGGTTTAGTCCTGGTCCTGGTTTACCTGGTTTAGTCCTGGTTTAGTCCTGGTTTAGTTCCTGGTTTAGTCCTGGTTTATTCCTGGTTTTTCCTGGTTTAGACCTGGTTTAGTCCTGGTTTAGACCTGGTTTAGTCCTAGTCCTGGTTTATTCCTGGTTTAGACCTGGTTTAGTCCTGGTTTAGTCCTGGTTTATTCCTGGTTTAGACCTGGTTTTGAACCATAAATAATCCATTTATTTATTAATTGAGCGTTAAGTCCTGCAGTCTGAACGCAGCCTCAGATTTCAGATTTAGATTTGATTGTGCTGACTTCAGTGTTGGTCTGAGGTACCTGAGGTCTGAGATCCAGGTCCAGGGGTCAGCGTGGGGGGCAGGTTCAGAGGATCTCCTCCACACACAAACACACTGTGAGAGCACGCCGCCCCCCGCAGGTTCATCTCACACACTGCACTCTGAAACACAACAGGAAACAGACATTTTTATTCATGTTTGAGCTTTTATTTCATCATTTTATTATTGTTGTTGTTATGATTATGTTGGTCTTATTGTTATTTCACTCATTCAATTGTGTCTTAATGTGGCTTCATATCAAATCAGAAATATTCTACAAAATCCACTTTTCTCCGCTCACCCCAAGTTCTATTTGGAGTGATTCATGTATGAGCAATTTTTAATTATTTATTTTGGCGTCGGATGTGAAAAAATCAACCAATCAGGAGCGACAATCCAGAGACGTAATGATGTTTTTATCCAGAAGACGGAGAAGAAAAAAGAAAGACCCAGAAACTGGATCAAGAAACCAAAAACATTAGTCTAATATTTACCACAACCAATAAACCAGGACTAAACCAGGACTAAACCAGGACTAAACCAGGTCTAAACCAGGTCTAAACCAGGTCTAAACCAGGTCTAAACCAGGTCTAAACCAGGACTAAACCAGGACTAAACCAGGACTAAACCAGGTCTAAACCAGGTCTAAACCAGGACTAAACCAGGACTAAACCAGGTCTAAACCAGGACTAAACCAGGACTAAACCAGGACTAAACCAGGACTAAACCAGGACTAAACCAGGACTAAACCAGGACTGGACCAGGACTAAACCAGGACTAAACCAGGTCTAAACCAGGTCTAAACCAGGACTAAACCAGGACTAAACCAGGACTAAACCAGAACTAAACCAGGACTAAACCAGGACTAAACCAGGTCTAAACCAGGACTAAACCAGGACTAAACCAGGACTAAACCAGGACTAAACCAGGACTAAACCAGGTCTAAACCAGGACTAAACCAGGACTAAACCAGGACTAAAACCAGGACTAAACCAGGACTAAACCAGGACTAAACCAGGTCTAAACCAGGTCTAAACCAGGACTAAACCAGGACTAAAACCAGGACTAAACCCAGGAACTAAACCAGGACTAAACCAGAACTAAACCAGGTCTAAACCAGGACTAAACCAGGACTAAACCAGGACTAAACCAGGACTAAACCAGGTCTAAACCAGGACTAAACCAGGACTAAACCAGGACTAAACCAGGTCTACTAAACCAGGACTAAACCAGGACTAAACCAGGTCTAAACCAGGACTAAACCAGGACTAAACCCTAAACCAGGTCTAAACCAGGACTAAACCAGGACTAAACCAGGACTAAACCAGGACTAAACCAGGTCTAAACCAGGACTAAACCAGGACTAAACCAGGTCTAAACCAGGTCTAAACCAGGACTAAACCAGGACTAAACCAGGTCTAAACCAGGTCTAAACCAGGTCTAAACCAGGACTAAACCAGGACTAAACCACGACTAAACCAGGACTAAACCAGGACTAAACCAGGACTAAACCAGGACTAAACCAGGTCTAAACCAGGTCTAAACCAGGACTAAACCAGGTCTAAACCAGGACTAACCACTAAACCAGGTCTAAACCAGGACTAAACCACTAAACCAGGACTAAACCAGGTCTAAACCAGGACTAAACCAGGACTAAACCAGGTCTAAACCAGGACTAAACCAGGAAACCAGGACTAAACCAGGACTAAAACCAGGACTAAACCAGGACTAAACCAGGACTAAACCAGGTCTAAACCAGGACTAAACCAGGACTACTAAACCAGGACTAAACCAGGACTAAACCAGGACTAAACCAGGTCTAAACCAGGACTAAACCAGGACTAAACCAGGACTAAACCAGGACTCTAAACCAGGACTAAACCAGGACTAAACCAGGACTAAACCAGGACTAAACCAGGACTAAACCAGGACTAAACCAGGACTAAACCAGGACTAAACCAGGTCTAAACCAGGTCTAAACCAGGACTAAACCAGGTCTAAACCAGGTCTAAACCAGGTCTAAACCAGGACTAAACCAGGACTAAACCAGGTCTAAACCAGGACTAAACCAGGACCAGGACTAAACCAGGACTAAACCAGGACTCTAAACCAGGACTCTAAACCAGGACTAAACCAGGACTAAACCAGGACTAAACCAGGACTAAACCAGGACTAAATCAGGACTAAACCAGGTCTAAACCAGGACTAAACCAGGACTAAACCAGGAGGACCAGGACTAAACCAGGACTGGACTAAACCAGGACTAAACCAGGACTAAACCAGGACTAAACCAGGACTAAACCAGGACTAAACCAGGACTAAACCAGGTCTAAACCAGGACTAAACCAGGACTAAACCAGGACTGGAACCAGGACTAAACCAGGACTAAAACCAGGTCTAAACCAGGACTAAACCAGGACTAAACCAGGTCTAAACCAGGACTGGACCAGGACTAGACCAGGACTAAACCAGGACTAAACCAGGTCTAAACCAGGTCTAAACCAGGACTAAACCAGGACTAAACCAGGACTAAACCAGGACTAAACCAGGTCTAAACCAGGTCTAAACCAGGTCTAAACCAGGACTAAACCAGGACTAAACCAGGACTAAACCAGGACTAAACCAGGACTAAACCAGGTCTAAACCAGGACTAAACCAGGACTAAACCAGGTCTAAACCAGGACTAAACCAGGACTAAACCAGGACTAAACCAGGACTGGACCAGGACTAAACCAGGACTGGACCAGGACTAAACCAGGACTAAACCAGGACTAAACCAGGTCTAAACCAGGACTAAACCAGGACTAAACCAGGACTAAACCAGGTCTAAACCAGGACTAAACGAGGACTAAACCAGGAGTAAACCAGGTCTAAACCAGGTCTAAACCAGGACTGGACCAGGATTAAACCAGGACTAAACCAGGTCTAAACCAGGTCTAAACCAGGACTAAACCAGGTCTAAACCAGGTCTAAACCAGGACTGGACCAGGACTAAACCAGGACTAAACCAGGACTAAACCAGGACTGGACCAGGACTAAACCAGGACTGGACCAGGACTAAACCAGGACTAAACCAGGACTAAACCAGGTCTAAACCAGGACTGGACCAGGACTGGACCAGGACTGGACCAGGACTAAACCAGGACTAAACCAGGTCTAAACCAGGACTAAACCAGGTCTAAACCAGGACTAAACCAGGTCTAAACCAGGTCTAAACCAGGACTGGACCAGGACTAAACCAGGACTAAACCAGGACTGGACCAGGACTGGACCAGGACTAAACCAGGACTAAACCAGGACTAAACCAGGACTAAACCAGGTCTAAACCAGGACTAAACCTGGAGTAAACCAGGACTAAACCAGGTCTAAACCAGGACTAAACCAGGACTAAACCAGGACTAAACCAGGACTAAACCTGGAGTAAACCAGGACTAAACCAGGACTAAACCAGGTCTAAACCAGGACTAAACCAGGACTAAACCAGGACTAAACCAGGACTAAACCAGGTCTAAACCAGGACTAAACCAGGACTAAACCAGGACTAAACCAGGACTGGAGCAGGACTAAACCAGGACTAAACCAGGACTGGACCAGGACTAAACCAGGACTAAACCAGGACTAAACCAGTGTCATTAGTGGAGTATAAATACGCTGATCTCCTCCGCTGATGGTTTTATATAATAAATTCTCTAAAGTCTCTCTCACTCTGGTCTGATATTGTTCCAAGAAAAGACCGGAAAATGGCACTTTTTTCCAGAGCAGTGGACGATCTGAAGGCACGACAGGAACTTTTCTCCTGTTTGTCGCTGTTGGAGGCGTCTAAACTCAAATGCAAAGAGGCGTCCAGTGAGTTTTTTGACGCTCTGGTCTGAACGGACTTTAAGTGACGTCAAATATGTGATTATGGAAAACTTTGGCAGGTTGTGAAGACGCTGCTGCTGAATCTGGCTTTGAATCTGTCACATGCTCAGTGTCGGGAACTACGCCAGAACTCGTCATCCGCATGTTTCCAAGCGTCTTTCGATAAAAGTGAGCAGAGCTTATGAACACATTATTTTTCTGTGGTTTTTGTGTTGTGGCGGGTCTGACCTGATTAAACAGCTGCACAGTGAAGTGATCCCTAAACTCTTGTTCTTCTCTGGGATGGAAACAGAGCCGGACGTCCTGACTCTGCCCTGGAGCCAGTCTGCCCTCTGCTGGCACCACGCTGAACGCACTCACATCTCTAACACCACCTGCAAAAAAAAAAAAAAAAAAAAAAAAGATGAAATGTGCTCATGATCAAATGGCTGCTGCTCATTTCTCTTCCTTCTCCTCGATCCTCCATTTTTCATCTGTCAATCAAGTGTGTCATATTAAGCGGTGTCCTAAAGAAAACCACGGAGTGAAGGAGTAAACCTGAGGGAGGCTTCAGAGAAATAACAAATTTTGGACTTCCGGTCATTGCGCAATTCATACTGGGAAGGATTTTCTGAAAAAGTGAGCATCAAACCTCCATGTTTGTTTTCCCAGTGGGATGAGTCTATTGTCAAAGTGGATCTTTTCAAGTCTTTTGAACCATATCACTTTTGTTTCTGGTTCTGATATTGTCATATTTTAGTTTTGGGATTCGGACATCGTTAATCGTGTGGTTGTTGGATCCTAACAGCGGAAAACGGCTCGAGAAATGTGTTTGTGAACTTCATAAATGCAAAAGTGAATCAGATGTGTGTGACTCAAACCTCTGTTCAAACTGTTTCTCTTCCCAACGGAATTGAAAAATAGTGAAAGGTGAAGGCGATGGGCAGGATTGATCCACAGGAAGAACCAAAAAGGAAACATTTGACTGACTAAATTATCCCGAGTTTGTAGAGAACATTTTGTATGTGGAGCGACAACAAAGCAAAATCCCGATCCCTCGCTCAACCTCGGTTACGAATTTAAAAAGTCAACGCCAAAGTGAAAGGCTCCAACTGTTCACCAAGAAACACCTTCCACTGCAAAGAGACCAAGACGTGATGTTTCTGTAAAACCACAAGAACAAGAAAGTGCAGCTCAGTCTGTTTGTCTTCTGCTCCTCTACATTAACAAACGGGATTTTACTTAGTTTTCGCTCCACATACAAAATGTTCTCTACAAACTCGGGATGATTTAGTCAGTCAAATGTTTCCTTTTTGGTTCTTCCTGTGGATCAATCCTGCCCATCACCTTCACCTTTCACTATTTTTCAATTCCGTTTTGAAGAGAAACAGTTTGAACGGAGGTTTGAGTCACACACATCTGATTCACTTTTGCATTTATGGAGTTCACAAACAAATTTCTCGAGCCGTTTTCCGCTGTTAGGATCCAACAACCACACAATAACGATGTCCGAATCCCTTGTGCTTCCTCATTAAATAAGCTATGAAACCATTTAAATAGCAAATACTTTGATGAAACTTCAGGTGTCTTGATGGTAACATTGGAAATCTCTTCGTGGTTTATGTTCTCTAGCCATAATCCGCATCTTTTTTTTGATAATTCCCTTGTTTGAGCTCCTGATGACGAATTTCCAGAGGAACAGTGAAGAAACGAATCGTTTTATTCTTTCAGAGAGTCTAGAAGAACCAAATACACAACAAAACCTGCCCATGTTTCTCCGATGCTGCTGAAGTCAATGACATAGTGTGTCCGGTGTCATGGCGGCGTAGGTACCGTTGCTATAGGAGTCACGTGACGGTGCAAAGACTCTATAGACACATCCCACTGGGAAAACAAACATGGCGGTTTGTTGCTCACTTTTTCCGAAAATCCTTCCCAGTATGAATTGGAAGCCTGAAATTCCAGATGAATGTATTGGTCGTGGAGAGGAATCAAGGAGAAAGAAATGAAGAAAGAGAACTAAGACGCGGCCGTTATGTTTACATGGAAACATACAGGAAAAACGTATAACTGTCCAATTTATATTTATGTATCAAAATGCATTTAAACCCGAGAACTACAATGGAGGAGTCGTAAAGAAACAGAGAAGAAAATATTAAACAAGAACAAGAAAATATTAAAGACATTTATTCACTCGTTTTAGATCAGTTTTAACGTCAAACTACTGTCTCTCTTTTGTCCATACCACTTGACAAATCTTGATCCCGTCAGGTCTGGTTAGGACTTGGAACGGAGACCACTGGGAAAATCAGGTGCCACAGGAGGGCGCCAGTCGCAAAAAACAGTTGCTGCGTCCGTCAGTCTGTCCCAGGGCAGCTGTGGCTACAATAATAGTTTTCTTCGGGACACCACTTAATATGACGCATTTGACTGACAGCTGAAAAATGGGAGATCGAGGGGAGAGGAATCAAGGAGAAGGAAGTGAACTGGAGGAAGCTCGTACCTGACAGCAGCTGCACACTCTGCCCCCTGCTGGTCTCTGTCTGAAGCGCAGGTGGAGCCCGACTGGAGAGGAAGGTCCTGAAGCCCACATCAACTGTAGAGTGATTCTGGAGCTGAATAAAAACACGACAAAAACTCATTTAATCTCAACACCTCATATGTTCAGTTCTGGTTTAGTCCTGGTTGAGTCCTGGTTTAGTCCTGGTTGAGTCCTGGTTGAGTCATGGATTAGTCCTGTTTTAGTCCTGATTAAGTCCTGGTTCAGTCCTATTTTAGTCCTGGATTAGTCCTGTTTTAGTCCCATTTTAGTCCTGGTTTAGTCTTTGATTAGTCCTGTTTTAGTCCTGATTAAGTCCTGGATTAGTCCTGTTTTAGTCCTGTTTTAGTCCTGATTAAGTCCTGGTTCAGTCCTGGTTCAGTCCTGGTTCAGTCCTGGTTCAGTCCGGGTTTAGTCCGGGTTTAGTCCTGGTTTAGTCCTGGTTCAGTCCTGGTTCAGTCCGTATGTGATGCTGTATTTTGACAGTAAAGTCACGTCTGTAAATTCCTATTTATACTGAAGAAAGTCTAATCATAAATTTTAATTTCGTGATTTTAGTTCTTGACGTCGTAACTTTTCACTTCTTACTCTGATGGATAAAATTCACACAACACATTTTCTGTATGACTTATTTATTTATGCTCAACTACAGACAAACATGCACAGATTTTTATCGTATGAATATGAATATTTCTGAAAGCTTTCGTACTCCATAATCGATCTTTCATCTTTCCCCGGAGGTGTGATGTTAACTGTGTGCACTGCTCTGTCTGAGGCTTGGTTAAACTTTAATTAAACACAAACGAGAAGCTCTTTGTGTCGACCGAGCTCCGTGTGTGTGTGTCCGTGTGAGTCTGTGTGAGTCCGTGTGTGTCTGTGTGAGTCTGTGTGTGTCTGTGTGTGTCTGTGTGAGTCTGTGTGAGTCTGTGTGTGTCTGTGTGTCTGTGTGAGTCTGTGTGAGTCTGTGTGTGTCTGTGTGAGTCTGTGTGAGTCTGTGTGAGTCTGTGTGTGTCTGTGTGTGTCTGTGTGAGTCTGTGTGTGAGTCTGTGTGTGTCTGTGTGTGTCTGTGTGTCTGTGTGTCTGTGTGTCTGTGTGTGTCTGTGTGTGTCCGTCTGTGTGTCGTGTGAGTCCGTGTGAGTCCGTGTGTGTGTGTGTCCGTGTGTCCGTGTGTGTCCGTGTGAGTCCGTGTGAGTCCGTGTGAGTCCGTGTGAGTCCGTGTGTGTCCGTGTGAGTCCGTGTGAGTCCGTGTGTGTCCGTGTGAGTCCGTGTGTGTCCGTGTGTCCGTGTGTCCGTGTGTGTGAGTCCGTGTGAGTCCGTGTGAGTCCGTGTGTGTCCGTGTGAGTCCGTGTGAGTCCGTGTGTGTCCGTGTGAGTCCGTGTGAGTCCGTGTGAGTCCGTGTGAGTCCGTGTGAGTCCGTGTGAGTCCGTGTGAGTCCGTGTGAGTCCGTGTGTGTCCGTGTGAGTCCGTGTGTGTCCGTGTGAGTCCGTGTGAGTCCGTGTGAGTCCGTGTGAGTCCGTGTGAGTCCGTGTGAGTCCGTGTGTGTCCGTGTGAGTCCGTGTGTGTCCGTGTGAGTCCGTGTGAGTCCGTGTGTGTCCGTGTGAGTCCGTGTGAGTCCGTGTGTGTGTCCGTGTGAGTCCGTGTGAGTCCGTGTGTGTCCGTGTGAGTCCGTGTGAGTCCGTGTGAGTCCGTGTGTGTCCGTGTGAGTCCGTCCGTGTGAGTCCGTGTGTGTCCGTGTGAGTCCGTGTGTGTGTCCGTGTGAGTCCGTGTGAGTCCGTGTGTGTCCGTGTGAGTCCGTGTGAGTCCGTGTGTGTCCGTGTGTGAGTCCGTGTGTGTCCGTGTGAGTCCGTGTGAGTCCGTGTGAGTCCGTGTGTGTCCGTGTGAGTCCGTGTGTGAGTCTGTGTGTGTCTGTGTGAGTCTGTGTGAGTGTGTGTGTGTGTGTGTCCGTGTGAGTCCGTGTGTGTCTGTGTGAGTCCGTGTGTGTCCGTGTGTGTCCGTGTGTGTCTGTGTGAGTCTGTGTGTGTCTGTGTGAGTCTGTGTGTGTGAGTCTGTGTGTGAGTCTGTGTGAGTCTGTGTGTGTCTGTGTGTGTGTGTCTGTGTGAGTCTGTGTGTGTCTGTGTGAGTCCGTGTGTGTCCGTGTGAGTTCGTGTGAGTCTGTGTGTGTCTGTGTGAGTCCGTGTGTGTTCGTGTGAGTCTGTGTGTGTCTGTGTGAGTCCGTGTGAGTCCGTGTGTGTCCGTGTGTGTCCGTGTGTCCGTGTGTGTCCGTGTGTGTCCGTGTGTGTCCCTGTGTGTGTGTGTGTGTGTGTCCGTGTGTGTCTGTGTGTCTGTGTGAGTCCGTGTGAGTCCGTGTGAGTCTGTGTGTGTCTGTGTGTGTCTGTGTGTATCTGTGTGAGTCCGTGTGTGTCTGTGTGTGTCTGACCTTCAGTGTGTGACAGGAGCTCTCCCTGACCAGAACGTGTCCAAAGTCCAGCTCCGGGGCAGAGGAGGAGCAGGTGACCGCAGGCTCCACCCCCTCTCCACGCAGCCTGAGCCACAGCGCCCCCCGCAGGCAACGCAGCTCCACACGCTCACGGTACTGCAAACACACAGACACACACAAACACACACACACACAAACACACACACAGAGAGGATGGAAACTAGAGCCTCAAAACTCTGACCTCTGTGAAGCTCTGTTGGCGAAAATGTCTTTGTAATAAATGTTTACATCCAGAATCAGAAAACTATTTAGGTTAGACTTGTTTGAAAATATTTAATTAGTTGAGTTTTTGTTGAACTTTGAGCTATTGAAGTAAAAGGAAGTGTTCAGAAGTGCAGCCCTCTGAATTGAGCTCTAAACATTGATCTGGAGGTGGATTATGTGAGGATGAAACATGGAGGAGCAGTGCATTACACAGTTTTAACACAAAAACTCAGAGCAGCCTAGAGCTTCAAATGCCTTCCTGATTCTCAAATGAAACACTTCAAAATTAGGCCAATTCTATCAAGTTGAGTTCTATATCTGTAAATGTGAACATGTGTTCTCTAAAGGTACCGGTCTCCAGGGTTCACCTCGCTGTGTGGGTTCAGAAAAGCTCTGGTCGAGTTCATAAATGAACACAATACATAAATAATACATAAATACCAGAATATTTGTGAGGGATGTAATGCATGGATCTCTGGAGCTTAACTCCTTTTTCTGTTGGTAACTCAGCACATGAACATGATGATATAAAGTGCATTTCCCATTTTTATCTGGATCTATTTTTCAGGTTTGGATACAGACATTACATCTGAAAAATCCTGTGAAATCTCCCATGTGAGTGTCAGCTCCAGTGCGGCGGCTGAAACATGAGGTGTGTGGTCAGTGTAAAGCAGAGACTGACCTTCAGAGCTCTGGAGGGGGAGAAGGCCAGCAGCAGGAGGCGCTTCTGACCCGGTCTGAGGGGCCGCAGGGCGTTCAGTACAGAGAAGGGACCCCCAGGGGCCAACAGAGACGAGCCCAGCTACAGCACAGTCAGGGAATATACAGAGTCTCTCTAGAGTCACTCAGGTCTGACCCACTGCATCCTCTGACCCTCTCCTCTGACCCACTGCATCCTCTGACCCTCTGCATCCTCTGACCCTCTCCTCTGCATCCTCTGACCCACTGCATCCTCTGACCCTCTCGTCTGACCCTCTGCATCCTCTGACCCTCTCCTCTGCATCCTCTGACCCTCTCTGCATCCTCTGACCCTCTGTGCATCCTCTGACCCTCTCCTCTGCATCCTCTGACCCTCTCCTCTGCATCCTCTGACCCTCTCCTCTGACCCTCTGCATCCTCTGACCCTCTGCATCCTCTGACCCTCTGCATCCTCTGACCTCTCCTCTCTGACCCTCTGACCCTCTGCATCCTCTGACCCTCTCCTCTGCATCCTCTGACCCTCTGCATCCTCTGACCCTCTGCATCCTCTGTGCATCCTCTGACCCTCTCTGCATCCTCTGACCCTCTGCATCCTCTGACCCTCTGCATCCTCTGACCCTCTGCATCCTCTGACCCTCTGCATCCTCTGACCCTCTCGTCTGACCCTCTGTGCATCCTCTGACCCTCTGCATCCTCTGACCTCTCGTCTGACCTCTGCCCCTCTGCATCCTCTGACCCTCTCGTCTGACCCTCTGTGCATCCTCTGACCCTCTGCATCCTCTGACCCTCTCGTCTGACCCTCTGCCCCTCTGCATCCTCTGACCCTCTGCATCCTCTGACCCTCTGCATCCTCTGACCCTCTCCTCTGCATCCTCTGAGCATCCTCTGACCCTCTCGTCTGACCCTCTGACCGTCTGCATCCTCTGATCGTCTGCATCCTCTGACCCTCTGCATCCTCTGACCTACTGCATCCTCTGACCCTCTCCTCTCACCCTCTGTGCATCCTCTGACCCTCTCCTCTCCTCTGACCCTCTGCATCCTCTGACCCTCTCCATCCTCTGACCCTCTCCTCTGACCCTCTCCTCTCACCCTCTGTGCATCCTCTGACCCTCTCCTCTCCATCCTCTGACCCTCTGCATCCTCTGACCCTCTCCTCTGACCCTCTCCTCTCACCCTCTGTGCATCCTCTGACCCTCTCCTCTCCATCCTCTGACCCTCTCCATCCTCTGACCCTCTCCTCTCCATCCTCTCACCTTCTGACCCTCTCCACTGCTCCCTCCTCTGCACCATTTACTCTGTAAACATCTAATTCTTCACCAGACGGATACATGTTGTGTTTCTTCTGTTACATTCTGGACGACACACTTCTGTACGACTGTTTCCCCTGAAAACACACACAGCAAACACTGAATACGTCATCGAGCTGCATGAGAGAAAAACTGGATTTAAATCGCTGCTACTGACCGACTGCCACGTTCTGAAAGTCCACAGAGTTTCCTCCAGTATCGGATGTGACCACTAGAGGGGGCTGTGTGACAGGGCAGTGCAGCTGCAGGTACAGCACGTTGACGGGGCTGAAATAAAGAACAGGACTCACTTTACAGAAAATATGAACAGTAAACCTACAGTATGTCTGTCATGATTTAATAGTCAAGAGCGCACAAATCGAGACCAAGACCTGTCCGAGACCACAGGGTCCCAACTCCGAGACAAGACCAAGACTTTTAAAGGTCAAGATCGAGACAAGACCAAGACCACGGCCCATCAAGACCTACATTTATTTGTATTTTACAGTTATTTTGGCCCAAATATATCAGTGTTTTTATAAATCTATCTCCATTTGATCTGATTAATGTTCATTTAGGGTTAAAATATGCCACACAAACTGTACTGCACTGAAACACTTTGTGCACCTTTTTTGGACCCTCACCCACAGTTTGAGAACCTTTTCTTTATTCCAACTTCTACAGGCACTTTACACAAAACAACTTCAAAGTGAATCAAGTCGTTTTCTTCAAGTTCATCACTTTTACAGTTAAATTAACTCACTGGTTTTGGAGTGATATTTAGCCTTTGCACATTTCCCGGCTGTAGGTAGATATGATTGCACTTGTTGAGTGTCAGACCTCAAGTCCAAGACAAGACCGGGACCAAGTGCCATCAAGATCGAGTCCAAAATGCACTAGAGTCCGAGACGAGCAGAGACCGTAAAAAAGTGGTCTTGAGGACTACAACACTATATTTTAGTATGTGTTGGCTGATATGAAATAAACATTCAAATCAAAATTTTTTAAACATTTTACATAATATTAAAGTTGTCTATCTTTACATTTTTGTCTTGATTCTCAATTTAAATCTCAGTCCAATCCAGTCCAATTGTTGTACTGAGGCCACACTGGGTTAATGCCTACACTTGGGTTTAAGGGGTATTTATTATTTATGGATTTGCACTTTATGGGATGCTCCAAACGCAATTTCGTTGTTCTTCTGTGACAATGACTAGAAGTTGAAAAAAAAACAGATAAACAAATAAAACAATCACAAAACACACTTAGCTCATCTCTTTGGGTCGTCAGATCCTACGACTAAAGTGTGTCCACTGCATTTCTGTGTTGTCTTTTCCCTGTGTTCACTCTAATAATGACGCTCCAAAGCGAAACAACGAGAGTCTAATGATGCGCCGCTGACTCCCAGGCTCGGTCGTGATATTCAGAGCACGTCTAACAAGCTATAACCTTTAAGCACATTTTCAGTTTTCCTTGTAAATTGTTAGTACAGCTCAATTTTCCAGTGAGCCGTACCTCCAGGACGGGGTCTGGTCCGGCGAGCTCTTGGAGACGGGGTCAGACACACAGCAGGTCACCGTGAGATGTCCGAGGGGAGGAGTCCTGACCAAAACACACACACAATTTAAGATATAAACACTAAAATCTACCAAAAAATGACTTAAAAGTAGTGAAATGATCTGACCATGCAGCAAGATTGTTTTACTGGACAAGTTCTCTTAAAGGTTGTATGGAGGATTTTTTGTTTGTTTCAAATTGTCAATGAAAGTTTAAAACACCATTAGAGAGACGCAGCAGCCTTGTAATTATGATGACCAAAAAAAAAAAGAAAGAAAATCTATCAACTGTGGACGTGTTGAGGCCAGATAAACATCAGCCAATAGAAAACGAGGCTGCCTCATTTTCTATTGGCTGTCAGGTTGTCAATCAAACTCCCTACGTTTCTAAGGTAACTATGCAGCGGTTCTTAGAGGCTTTTTCTAATTGTGACTCTCTCGCAATTCACATAAAGTTTGTTGCGATGTCGGACGAGAATCCACGACCAGTTCGCCGCAAAAGAAAGTCTGTTTTTGAGGTCGCTGAAAGAAGAAGAGAAGAAGAAAAGGAGCGAAGACAAACTGAGGTGATTCTTGGAGATTCCTTCCAGCGATGGCGCGACTGAAGCGGACGAAGGGTCTAAAAACTGAGGTGTCGGTCTCTAAATTATTTCTAGAGGGACCTGTGGAGGAGGAAGGTGGTGTCACGCATGCACGACATTTGAAAAAGGACTGTCGCTGGATTTCTCTTTCCTTAAAAAAATCCTCTATACAACCTTTAAAATAAACGACCTCTAGACTAGAATAAAACCGTCTCTGGTCGAGTAAGTAGAAAATAAATCTGAAAATAAGATGAAAAACCTGATATAAGTTTTAAAATCTTGGCCACATCAGCGAATGACACTTCTGGAAAAACAATACAAAAGATGTGGTTCTGTGCAAATCTCATATGGAACCAACTGACCAAGATCTACGGTAAATTTTGCCAATAATACTGACAAAACCGTGAAGAAATATCACGATTTATGAGGCAATGCTTGAAAATTCAACTTGATTCTAAAGACAAAATATTTTCACAGAGGAATTACAGAGGTTTATCAATAAACTAAACAGCTGAAAAACAGATTCTTCCACAGAACTGCGAGCCGTTTTAAAATATGAGTTTGTTGAATTCTGTTTCATGCTGCATCCTCGTCTCTTATGTGTGCGTCATGTTTATGTATAGAATATAATGTATAATTTATGTTGTGTGTGTGTGTGTGTGTGTGTGTGTGCTGTATACAGAGTAAACATTGTGTCCCATCAGAATCTGTGTATCATTTGTTTTTCAAAATAAAACCAAAAATAAGAAAACAAAAAAACAGCTATTTTCTTCATTTTTTGTCTCCAAAACCAAAATGAAAAAACAGATAATGATTTCTTTTTTCAGTTTTCGATTTTGTGTTTAAATGAAGAATAAAACGGATAACGATTTCCCGTTTCTGTGACTTAAATTGTGATGCCGGACTGAACCAGGACTAAACCAGGACTGAACCAGGACTAAATCAGGACTGAACCAGGACTGAACCAGGACTAAACCAGGAATGAACCAGGACTAAAGCGGTCTCAGTCCTGGTCTGGCCCCAGTGTTAGTCCTGATCTCGTCTTGGTCTGGTCCTGGTCTCGGTCTCAGTCCTGGTCTCAGTCCCGGTCTGGTCCTGGTCTGGTCTTGATCTCAATCCTAGTCCTGGCCTTGGTCCCAGTCTGGTCCCAGTCTCAGTCCTGATTATTCCGACAGTCTACGCGGGCACACCTCCGGACGCATCCCAACACTCAGACCCGGCTCAATCCTGGTTCAGTCCTGGTTCAGTCCTGGTTTAGTCCTGGTTTAGTCCTGGTTCAGTCCTGCTTCAGTCCTGCTTCAGTTCGTATGCGGTGCAAAAGTCTGGTATTGCAGTCACGGAAATGGGAAACAGGCCGTTATGTTTGTTTTTTTGTTTTCTCATTTTTGGTTTTATTTTGAAAAACAAATGAATGAATGACACACGGATTCACCAGGATCATCTGTATTCCACATTGAGGTAAACAGAGATAAAAACACAGAATGTCTGTCTTCGTCTACATCCATCTCGACGCTTTGTTTACTGTTACTGTTCCACAAAAGGGACACAGACAGACGCCACCAGTTTGAGGTCATGGCTTCACAGCTCACAGCTGATTGGCCGGTGTGTGGTCTACAACTTCCGGGGTTCTTGCAAATCGTCTAGTGTGTTCTGATTCCTGAACTAGAGCGGAGGCACTAGGCGGCACCAGTCTGGTTACATGAATGTGACCTGGCCGTTCGGACTGAAGTCGCATGTCAAAAGATCAGATATGGATCGTTTTAGGAGCATACAGTGTCCTGGGTCACATTGAAAAAAAAAGATCAGATCAGATACAGGAGTATAGGGACCAAAAAATCTGATTTGGGTCACTTCAGGCTGCAGTTTGAACGTAGACTTTGTTAAAATTACTACTGTGAACAGAGCCCGCAGGAGGTTGTCGTCACATGTTATTAGGTTCTTTTTTCAGACCAAGAGTTTGCAGTTTCGACTGCTCCCTGTGTTCTTCCTCAGAGTCACGTGATGTTGCTGTGACGTGTCGTGCAGCTGATTTAAACAGGTTTTGGCGCTGTCTTCCTACCGGTGGAGGCGGGAGGACGATAAACCGGGACGAGGGGCTTTTTTACTCTCACACACCTGGGATACTGTCCTGAGGAAGTCGGACTGCAGGTGGCGCTGTCGTCCTGCCTCCACCGGTGGGAAGACAGGGACAAAACCTGTTTAAATCAGCTGAACGACACGACACAGCAACATCACGTGACTCTGAGGAAGACGCTAGTGAGCAGTCGAAACTGTCAGCTATGAAAACAAACTCTTGGGCTGAAAAAAGAAACTAATAACATAAAATATCGGAAGACCAAATAAATCTTATTGGACTGTTGTCATCACATGTTTCCAAACGTCTTCCTGGTTTGTGACGTAAGCGTGAACAGAGTCTATGAACTCACAGGGTCGGGCGGGCGCTCGTCTTCTGCATCGTTTGTCCTCTGCTGCCCTCTGCTGGACACTCCTTCTGCCACAAGACACACACACACACACGGACATGTTTACACCTGACCACTGAGAAGCTGTGACCTAACACAGGTTCATAATACTGACAGCACATTTATATTTTTACGCTCCAATTTATTTATTGAAAAATGGTCTCTGTACCTGCTGCTGTGAGCCTCATCATTTTGGTCTTAAAATGTTCATATTAATCCGCTCTACATGATCCTTGTGGTTTTATTTTGCTATTTTGTCCATAAATAAATTCCTATTTCTAATACGGAACCAAATTTCATACTCATTTGACTTCATACAGTCTCGGGCCGCGTCTCATTTATCTTTCCTCGCTTCCTTCTCCTTGGTTCCTCTCCTCTATCCTCCATTTTTCAACTGTCACTCAAATGTGTCATATTAAGTGGCGTCCCAAAGAAAAACACGGAATGAAGCAGTAAACGTGAGGGAGACTTCAGGAGCTGAGACTAGAGAAAAGAATCAAACATTATTGGTCTCAGTGAGGAGTTTGTGTGCACTCTCCTCGCTGTGTCTCCTTTCCTGCAGAATCAAGGAGAAGGAAGCGAGGAAATAGAAACGGGACGCGGCCTATGCATAAGAAACACACGTGAGAACTTAGAGGATTTGCGTCAGTGTATGACAAAATACCAGCGTGAGAGTGGAGAGTCTCACCTGCGCTTCGGTCCGTGTGTCAGACTCTTCTCTGAGCTCTGTCTCGTGGAGAGTTGGTCTGAAGCTCAACTGGACCACACAACGCTGAGAGAAAACAACAAACACACACAAACACACACACACACAAACACACACCGATCAGAGAACCACCAGGGACCAGAGCTACACACACAAGCCCAGAAAATGTCACAAAAACAAATGTTCTGGTAGAAAGAGACATGTACATCCAACTAAAATTGCGACTGCACGTTGGGTCCAAAAACAAAAACGGTACCAAACTGTTCTCTGAAACTCCCAATTTTTTTTTCAGTGACACCACAGTGTGATGTTTCGGGTTGAGCCTTTCTTCAGGCGTGACACAAAATTGGGAGCTTCAATGAATTGTAGGGCGGAAAGGTGGATCTAAACACTACCAGACAAAAGTTTGGACTCACTTTCTCACTTCTAAAACAAAGACTTATTTAACTTCTTTTTTTGTTGCTACATAATCCCACATATCCTACTTCATGTTTAATGTGTTCTGCACATGTATCTCATGTAGAAAGCACTAGTGTTGTAGTTGAGGCCTCATCAAGACCTAATTGGTCACTAATTGAGACCAAGACCAGTGGGAGACCACAGGGTCCCAAGACCAGGACAAGACCAAGACCTCTGAGGATCGAGACCGAGACAAGACCAAGACTACGGCCCCTCGAGACGAAATCAAGACCATCTTTGTCATTTTCTACATTTATTTGTATTTTACAGTTGTTTTGGCACAAATATATCAGTGTTTTTATAGATTTATGCCCATTTTATCTGAAAAATGTGAATTTAAGCTTAAAATAAGCCAAGCAAACTGTACTACACTTCAACACTCTGCACCCCTTTTTTGGACCCTCACCCACAGTTTGAGAACCTTTTCTTTAATCCAACTTTCACTGGTACTTTACAGACTTCAAAGTGAATAAAGTGGGTAGGATTTTTTTTTTTGTCTGTAGGATCCAGGCGAGCGAACAGGCTGCAGTAAGAAGTCCAGCGCACTCCCGTACACATGTACAAGTTTATTGCTGACAGCAGCGGTTGCAATGAAATATGATCGCACTCATCGAGTGTCAGACCTTGAATCTGAGACAAGACCGAGTCCAAGCACCTTTAAGACCGAGACAAGACCAAGTACAAGTGCCTTTAAGAACAAGACAAGACCGAGACAAGACCGAGACAAGACTAAGTCCAAGCGCCTTCAAGACTGAGACAAGACCAAGTACAAGTGCCTTTAAGAACAAAACAAGACAGAGTCCAAGTGCACTTGAGTTCGTGTTCTTAAGGCCGATCTTGAGAAAAAAAACAGTCTCAAGTACTAAGACACTACAAAGCAGTATATATATATATATATATATATATATATATATATATATATATATATATATATATATATATATATATAAAACCCACTGAATCAGAGGGTGAGTCAAAACTTTTAAATGTGGAGACAAACTGGCAGAGGCTCCTAATTCAAAATCATCAGAAAACTCAGACACCACAACGATAATAAAAACCCTCTTTCTTTAGACAATAGAATGTGATTTTCAGCATTAAATGGTGGAACTTTGTTTTCTATTTCCATGTGTCCTTATATCTGTGTGATCCCTCAGTGGTCCAGGTGGGTTCTATAGTGATCCAGATCTAAACCAGGTCTAAACCAGGTCCATGGGCAAATGAGAATCTAGTTTAAGTATCAATTAGTATCCATTAGGGATGGGCACGATTAATCGATAATTGATCATTAAGAATTTCATCGATTACGTTAATTTTAATCGACAAACCGAATGTAGGTTGCTGTGTGTATCGTGACCAAACAGGTGTGTACATGTGTCTCTGCATCAGAAGGAGCGAGACACAAACAGAAACAGTAGGTCAGCCTGCAGCGAACCGAAGCACAAATGTGTATTTAATGATGATTTGTACAAGAAATTCCACACTTTCCGTTGCGTTGGGACAAGTGTGAGTCCATGTGCACAGTGTATAAAGCAGCACATATGTTTCTGTGTCCAGTGGGAAAAAGTTTTTCCAGGTGAGAGTCGCTCAATGTGGATGACGAGGCCCCGCCCCCCTCCCCCCGTACGCTGTCCTGGTTTTGACAAACACAAATCTGGTCACACTAACCTGTATTCACCTGAGTCATGTCTTTTAATCCAACAGAAATTGACCGCATCAGCAACACAAGAGCTGGAGTTTTATCTTCACTTAGTTTATGCAAATTAGTGATGTGGTTTTAAGTTTTGTTTCTGTGAGATTTGCACACAGATTTTGACAATCTTATTCCTTTCTACTCAATTTTATGTCTTCAAGGCTGAGCAATCGAGAAAAAAGCAAATCAGCAGAGACAAAAATGTAATTCTCTGCAAAAGTAAATTGTGTAAAAAAGGAAAACATGATGGGGAGTCTGTCTGCTTTGCAAACTCAAAACACAATTTCAATATTTGTGACCAAAATAAAATGTATTGATTTGAAATGTTAAAACTCTTTGGGTGTTTTGAAAGGCATTATATAGATGCAATGATTAATTAAAGTAACTCACAGTGTTAATGAATTGTCAGGAAAAGGGAACAAATACATAAAATCTGTTCTTTCTGCTCCTTTTCCTTCATTTCTTTTCATTTCCTGTACGTTTACACACTGTTTATGTCTTTTTATACTTTACAAATTAAATAAATAAACAAATAAGAATAACAATAATAATTTAGACATATGTAAAGACTATTTTAACAGCGTTGTACCTCTCCAGGTAACAGAGAGCCAGTGGAGGGCGACACGCTGACGTCTGATTGGTCAGGGACGTGGAAGCTGAAGAGGCGGGGCTCGGCGGGGGTCAAAGGTCGTTCTGTGTTGGTGATGTAGACCAGAGCGGACGAACAGTGTCCCAGCGCCGTGGCTCCAAACTGGACCGCGGTGTGAGAGAACTCCAGAGGGGGGCGCACTCCCAGACCTCTGCAGGACAACAGCAGGTCTCTGAAAGAAGAAAGAAAACACAGGGATAGAACGCAGCACCTTTACATGTAAACTCAGTATTTACAGGCTCAATATTAACCCTGGAAAAACTACATTTCACTGTGTTTGTCCTTCTTCCTTCGGTGCAGCGTCGGCAGTGATGCGGTCGCTGTATCGGATTGTTGTGGTGAGGAGGGAGCTGAGCCGAAAGGCGAAGCTCTCGATTTACCGGTCAATCTGCGTTCCTACTCTCACCTCTGGTCATGAGCTCTGGGTAGTGACTGAAAGGACGAGATTACGGATACAAGCGCTCGAAATGAGTTTCCTCCGCAGGGTGTCTGACGCTCCCTTAGAGATAGGGTGAGGAGCTCAGTCACACGGGAGGAGCTCAGAGTAGAGCCGCTGCTCCTCCACATCGAGAGGAACCAGCTGAGTTGGCTCGAGCATCTGTTCTGATGCCGCTTGGGCGTCTCTCTCTGGAGGTGTTCCGGGCATGTCCCACCGGGAGGAGGCCCCGGGGAAGACCCAGGACACGCTGGAGGGACTATGTCTCTGGGCTGGCCTGGGAACACCTTGGGGATCCCCCCGGAGGAGCTGGAGGAAGTGTCTGGGGTGAAGGAAGTCTGTGAGTCCCTGCTTAGACTGCTGTGAACGTGTGAACTGTCTAGTGTATTTTGATTCCTGACCTAGTCGCTGGAGAGAAATGAAATTGAGCAGAGGCACTAGGTGGCACCAGCCTGACTAGTGTGAAGGAGCAGGTCTGTCTCTTAGAGCCCTGTCCAACGGGAGACCATGTGAAGATGCACACTTGTGTGACTGTGTGTGTGTGCTCGTGTGCTCGTGCGCGCGCGTGTGTGTGTTTGTGCGTGTGTGTGTGTTTGTACCGGTTGAGTCCAGTCTTGCAGCTCAGTTGGAAGTTGTAGCTCTGGACTTTCTTTGGTCTGAAGATCAGGTCAATGGGTAAAGTCTCCTGAGGAAGAAGAGTCCCAAAGCCATGGTCCGGCTGCACCTCCAGGAACTGTACACACACACACACAGGCACACACACACACCCACGCACACACAGAAACATACACACGCACACACAGAAACATACACACACACACACACACAGGCACACACAGAAACATACACACACACACACAGAAACACACACACACACAGACAAATTATAAAGACTTCTGTATACTTTCTCATTTTCCTTCACAAACAGAGGCTCTTTAAAATCATTTTATACTACCAAGTATTAAGCAGTTCACCTCCATGTTTTAGAACTTAAAGGGCCCTATTTTCTGATGTCCCTTATGTTTCGAATCGTGCGCCAAATCCGCGAACCACTTCCTGAACCGGTCACAGGTCCACCGGTCCTGAACGTCACCACAAATGTCACCGATACAAACCTCGATACGCGCTTCACCAAAGACTCCTGGGTTACTCAGCACACGCTTCAAAGCCTCGACACATAGGACACATCTACAGAAGCCGAGAGGGGTCACAACAAACGCAAACGCCGCAACAAATACAAACGCGACAACACAACAAAAAGCCACAACACACCAAAAAAAGCCACAACACACCAAAAAAAAGCCACAACGGAAATGACCGCGGGACTATATTTTAATGCAAACGCTGCAACAAATACAAATGCGACAACACAAACGCAAATGCCGCAACACATAAAAAAGCCACAACGGAAGTGACCGCGGGACTCTATTTTCCGACGGACCGATCAGGCGCCAAGTGAAGAAGAAGAACTACAACGTGAAAAGTAAAGGAACAGAGAAGTTGGAAACGTAAGTAAAATAATTTATTGTTTTATCATTATTCGTTTCACATTGTAGTTCTTCTTCTTCACTTGCCGCTTAATCGGTCCGTCGGAAAGTCCCGCGGTCACTTCCGTTGTGGCTTTTGGATGTGTTGTGGCTTTTTAATGTGTTGTGGCTTTTTAATGTGTTGTGGCTTTTGCGTTTGTGTTGTGGCTTTTTAATGTGTTGTGGCTTTTTAATGTGTTGTGGCTTTTTAATGTGTTGTGGCTTTTTGATGTGCTGTGGCTTTTTGATGTGTTGTGGCTTTTTGGTGTGTTGTGGCTTTTTGATGTGTTGTGGCTTTTTAATGTGTTGTGGCTTTTTGGTGTGTTGTGGCTTTTTGATGTGTTGTGGCTTTTTGATGTGCTGTGGCTTTTTGGTGTGTTGTGGCTTTTTAATGTGTTGTGGCTTTTTGATGTGTTGTGGCTTTTTAATGGGTTGTGGCTTTTTAATGTGTTGCGGCATTTGCGTTTGTGTTGTGGCTTTTTGGTGTGTTCTGGCTTTTGCGTTTGTGTTGCGGCGTTTGCATTAAAATAGAGTCCCATGTTGTAGTTCACACACTCACACACACACACACACACACACACACACACACAGTAAATGTCCCAGATACGGCAGCCTGTAGTGTGATGTCGTTTTACCTCGGGGACGTTGCAGAAGCCAAAGTCCTGAGGCAGCAGGGACAGGTTCGACAGGTGCACTCTGCTCCTGCCGGCCTGGTGCACAGAGCAGGGCCCAAAGTCCAACAGAGACAGGTCCAGGCTCAGGTCAGAGGAGGTTAGCACTGCACTCACCGTGACAGACACACACTGAAAAACACAACAGCTCAGCAGGAAGGACTCGGATGTGTGTGTGTGTGTGTGTGTGTGTGCGTGCGTGTGTGTGTGTGCGTGTGTGTGTGTGTGTACGGTCCAGCGGTACAGACCTGTCCTGGAGCGTGCACCTCCAGAGGGGCCTCCAGAACGCTGGTGTCACGGTCAAATAATTCCCCCGCGTCTTCAGGGAGGGACGGTCTGTGGTCAGCACAAACATGGACACGTGTTCAGATTTTTGTTCAAAGTTTATTCCTCTCATTTGATCAATACAAATATTCAATACTATTTGTTTTTTTTTATTTTTAATGTAAGATGGTTTTCTGTATTCATTTCCTAACAAACCACATTCTTTACTGACACAGAATGTGGACGTCTCCATTAAAGGAGAAATATTACATCTTTTCTGATCTTTGTTATCATGTAGTTTCCTCTTCACAAACAGACCTGGAGCTGTTGGACCTCAGGAGATGTAGACAAACTAATAATAAAGATTTACTCAAACAGATGTAAATAAAACAAAACACAAGTGTCCAGGATCTGTTCTTGAGGAGAGAACAACATTCTAACATGACTCAAAACTACAAGAGTCAAACTGTGTAATGTGAGAGATTTGAAAAGTCACAAAATCTCAGTCTTGATGAAAATGTAATTAACTGCACAGTCCAAGTACACAGTACATGTTGTAGTACACAGTACACAGGTTAGAGTACAGTTGTGTACATGTTGTAGTACACAGTACACAGGTTAGAGTACAGTTGTGTACATGTTGTAGTACACAGGTTAGAGTACAGTTGTGTACATGTTGTAGTACACAGAAGTCTGTGGGCTGGAGCTCAGCGCCTCCACAGCACCTCTGACTGTCGCCATGGAAACCAACTCAGAGCCCCGACTCACAACAGCGAAACAGGAGGAAGAGGAGGAAGAAGAGGAAGAGGAGGAAGAGGAGGAGGGAGAGGAAGAGGAGGAGTCTCTTATTTGGGTCACCAATTTAAATGCTGAATTCGAGTTGTTTTAGACCTAAAATGTCTCTCCCTAAACCCCAGAGGTTCTGAGGTTCACATGAGTCCTGGCCTATCCACATGTATGTATGTTTATTTGAGATTATGAGAAAAACTGAATAAAGCCTCGTTCATCTTCTGAGTGTGAATTCTCTTTTATGTGAGAGTGGAAACTGTTTAAAGCTCCTGTACTGCACAAAGTCGACACTTTTGAACTTTACATCATGTTATAATGTTGTTCTCTCCTCGAGAACAGACCTGGAGTTGTGTTTTGTTTCATTCACACATGTTTGAGTAGAACTTTATTATTAATCTGTTTACATCTCCAAAGCTCAAAATGCTCTGTTCCACCTTGTGATGTCATGAAGTGGTAGTTTTGAGGTTAACAGCTCCTTCTAACCTTCTTTTGTTCAGTAGAGATTGGCCATTCCAGGACTGAAATGATCCAAATGATTCAAGTGAAGGTGTATGGAGTTTAGAAACACAGTGGAGCACTTCCTGTCTGTACCACATGACGTCAGCAGGTGGAACAGTGTTTTCAGTTTAGAACTGAGCCTAAATGTGCAGGGAATAAAACAGAACACAGCTCTGGGTCTGTTTGTGTCGAGGAAACTGCATTAGAACGTACAGTAGCTCAGAAAACAGAGTAATATGGGCGCTTTAATCTCGCTTCCCTCATGTGACAGAATAATCCGGATCTGTGTAAACATTGGTGCAGTAAACATACACGTCACAGCGAAGTGTTTCTGAGAAGGCTCCGACTTTAGACTGAACTGAGGAATAATACTACATCTTTAGTTCTGAAGCACTTATAAAAACAAGGATTACATAAAATAGCCTCCAGAAGCAAACGAAAACAGATCCGATTAATTATAATAAATAAAAAGAAATAGATTTTATTCCTTATTTATTTTTATTCTGTCTAAAACCAGTTAAAGGAAGGCCAAATGATAAAAATGAGTCTTAAGAAGTGATTTAAAAGACGATACTGATGATGCGAGCTTCATCTCCTCAGGCAGGTCGTTCCAAAGCCGAGGTGCCCAGACTCGGCATGATTAGTCGATTAATCGATAATGGATCATTAAGAATTTCATCGATTACGTTCATTTTTAATCGACAAACCAAATGTATATTGCTGTGCGTAGCGTAGTGTGACCAAACAGGGGTCTGTACATGTGTCTCTCTGAACTCAGAAGGAGTGAGACACAAAGAGTCGGTCAGTCTGCAACGTACCGAAGCACAAATGCATATTTAACGATGATTTGTACAAGAAATTCCACGCTTTCCATTCCGGTCGGGACAACTGTGAGGTCCATGTGCACAGTGTTTCAGTGTGCAGTGGGAAAAGGTTCACCAGGACACAGAAAACATTAAAAAAGTTTTTCCAGGTGAGAGTCGCTCATTGTGGATGACGAGTCCCCGCCCCCCTCCCCCCGTACGGTGTCCTGGTTTTGACAAACGCAAATATGGTCACACTAACCTGTATTCACCTGAGTCATGTCTTTTAGTCTAACAGAAGTTGAACCACATCAGCGACACAAGAGCTGTTTTTTTTTTTTTTTTAAACTTTGCTTAGTTTATGCAAATTATCCATGTGGTTTTAAGTTTTGTTTCTGTGAGAGTTGCACAAATCTGCATTAAACACATTATAATGTCAAACAGCTGATGTGGCTCTAGAGTCGTTACGGTTTATATGTCATAAAGTTGAATTTATTTATGCAGATAGTAATAATAATGATGATCATTTTAATATAAAAACATTAATGATTAATCTATAATCGATCGTTAATTCTCCCGATGATCGATTAAGAAAATTTAATCGAATGTCCATCCCTAACCCGGACTGAAAAGACTCCATCACCTTCATCTGGAGCCTGGACTTTGGAAGAGCCACAGGGACCTGCCCGAGGATCAGAGGTTATGTTTACACTGAAACGAATCACCGTCTCACTGTATCGGAAATGATTTGCGTCCAGACACGTCATTTCTGTGTCCGCAATCAAAGCCTTCCCCATCCACAGTAACGCGAAACTGCCTGAAACGCTGGTCACATGACGAGGCTGGTGTCACAACATCACATGGGCAGTAAAAACAAGGAAGCTGATTTCGAGCTGAAACTGTCTTTTCGTGGGCCGACGACGAGGTTCAGTTGTTAAAGAAAGTACCGTATATTTCGAACTATAAGCCGCACTTTTTTCATGGTTTGGGTGTTTCCTGCGACTTCTACTCCAGTGTGACTTAAATATTAAAATTTTCAGACTGACAGACGCAAGAGGCTCTAGTCTTGTGTGTCAGTATCTATTACTACTGTACCACTGTCCTCGCTTCGCTCTACTGCGCATGTCTCCAGTAGAAAAGCCGCTGTCCTGCTGCAAATAGTGAAATCTGCAGCTGAAAACGGTATTTGAGCAGCAGAAAGAAAGTTTGGGGTGAGCGAGAAACTTGTGAGGGACTAACGTCTCTAGAGCCGTTTTCCATCGGATTAGTGTGCGCGAACACTGCATCCGCAACGAAAACGACTGAGGATGAGGCCTAAGGCTGAAGAGGAACAGCCACAGTGACGTGCCTGAAGATCCAAGGGCTCGTACGGGGTTAAAAGTTCTGAAATGTAGACCTAAACGAGCTTTAAAAGTGATCGGTAAAATCTTAACATCGATTCTAAAACCCACAGGGGGCCAGAGAAGAGAAGATAAAACAGGGTAAATGTGTTGATGTCTGTTAAAGCCCGTGAGGAGAGTAGCGTGTGCTGTGTCACTGTGAATATAATCCCTCTGCACTCGCGCTGATGGAGCAGATTAAAGCGAATGTTCAGATTGGTGCTGATTACAACAAACAGCCCACCCCTCACCCCTCACCCCTCGCCCCTCGCCCACGTCCACCCATCACCCCCCTCCCCGCGCTCCTCTGCCCCCGACCGCACGCCGTTTTCATATCTGTGACATCACGACTGTATTTCCTATAGGCCGCGCCCCGCATACACGCCCCCGACCTCTCTAATCGGCTTTGTAATCCTTTTCATAATCACGCTTTAATGGGAGTGGGATGTGCGGGGTCAGAGGGGGCAGATGGAGCCAGGATCATACAGTCATTCATACATCCGGGGGCAGGGTGGGCGGGATGAGCGGGATGGGCAGGCTGGGAAAGCTGGGAAAGCTGGGAAGGCTGGTCAGGCTACCGCTGCAGAGACACATTCACAGTCACTGAGAGAACTGGACCTGTGAGCACTGACAGAGCAGCGTTGTGGTTTGGTCGGAGCCAAAGGTGGAGCACCCAAATGAACCAAAACAAAGAAGGCGACGCAAATGAACTTCAGCACTATTTAGTGTGAAAAAAGTGCATTTGTGGACAGTGCTGGGAGCAGAGTGTTATAAAAGTAACAAATCACTGTGCTGCGTTGCTTTTTGCTGTAACGCAGTAATGTGGCATTACAGGGAAAAAATAATAATATTTTACTCGGTACAAATGTGAGTAAAGCGCATCACTGGATTGAAGTGGTGTTTTTTTTGTTTTTCTTCATACAAATTCGCTAAAATCACCGCAATATCAGCAGCGGTGAAACGGCGGAGATGCGCCCGCGTAGACCGTCAGGTGACCGCCGGCGAAAGGACCGACGCAGAACTCCACGCTCCACGGGGCGAAGAGCAGCTGACGCCCGATCGCGCCTTACAGACGCCCGTTCCACGAGCTCGGGGTTCTCTCAGGAGCGGAACTAGATTCCAAGTTCTAGTCCAAGATTAGTCCTGGTTTAATCTTGGTTTAGTCCTGGTTCAGTTCTGGTTTAGTCCTTGGTTTAGGAAGGTCTTCATGAATGTATTTAATTTTTTTTTATAATGTTTTTTTTAATGTTTTGTATGTTTCAATATGTAAAATCTTAATAAAAACATTTGTGAAAAAAACAACAAAAAAAAAACAAAACTAATGAGAGAGAGAAAACAATAGACCTTTTTCACAGTGGCCAGAAGTGTCTCTTGAACTTCCAGTTAATGTTTTTTTACTGCAAAATATCTGTGGAAAAGTCTTCTTCATGAACAGAATATGTCGTTTGTGAACCTTGTTGGATGAAGATTTGGTGACAGGGCAGATTATTGAAGCGGGTGGAGAATACGTCAGACATTTACACACATTTTGCCACAGAAAACCATTAACCGGAAGTTCCACAAACTCACATCGAGGCACTTCTGGTTCGATTTTGCCCGATAGTTCTCCTTTAACATGTTTATCTCCGTGAAGACAAACAGGCCAAGTTCCACACTCCTTTTATTCAGTTTCTCCACAGTCCTTTCTCTCTCTCTCTCTCTTCCTGCCTTCCATCTCTCTCTTTCTTTCTTTCTCCCCTTCCCTGTCTCTTCTTCTCCCCTCTCCTGTAGGACCAGCTCTTTCCCGACCTCTCCTCTCTTCTCTCCCTCTTCTCTCCTTCTCTCTCTGTTCTTCTGGGGGCAGATGGCTGGGTTGTTTGTCTCTGTCGTGTTTCCGTCGCTCGTGCCAAATCTAAAAGTGGCTCCTCTCTGACTCTCTCTGTCTGTCAGTCTCTCTCCGGCGGCAGCAGCAGCAGTTCACACTCACAGCTTCCGTATCACCAGCTCCTCATCACGTCTGTTTACACTGTTACTACGACGCCCTCGCACGCGCCCAATGTATGTGTGTGTGTGTGTGTGTGTGTGTGTGTGCCAGCTTGTGATGTCATGAAGTGGTAATTTTCAATTTAACTAAGGATGTCCTGATCACATTTTTTGGCCCACGAGTCCGAGTACTTTAATTTTGAGTATTTGCCGATACCGAGTCCCGATCCGATGCTTCTATAAAACATTATGAAACGAACTAAGAGCGAAGAATCAGATCCAGGATGATTGGGGGGATCAGATTGTGTTGATTTCATGTGTCGTATTTGGGCTGAACTTAGTGTGAAAAATCAAATCAAATGTCCAAAACTTAAATTTTCTAACCATGAACCATCATTGTTGAAAATCTTGACTTTTACCACAGTCTGGTCTTGGAATGTGTAACTTAGTAAATTTAATGAACTGGACAAAACAGGAACCAGACCAGAACCAGATCAGACCTGAGACTCGACTCTGCACAATCTACACTTTGTATATTTGATATTATATCTTTGCATGTGCTTTACATTTGAAACATTTAGGTTAGTCTATGAAATCCAAATAATACAAAATCTTACCATTATTTGGTAAACTCGAGTCCGCAATCGGATCGGATCGGGACAACCCTAAATTTAACGGCTATGTTTTATCTTTTGTTTAGTGAAGAATGGAAATTCCAGGGCTGAATTGATCCAAAATGATTCTAGTGAAGATGTACAGAGTTTAAAACACAGAAGAGGGATCACAAGAGCCTCGACTCATGTGAAAGCTCAGAATCTATAGAATTCACTCACTGAACTGCAGAGGCACTGATTATTGTTTAGGTAGTGACCATTTAGATTATATAAAATCTATTTAGGTTTAAACCAGCTGGATTTTAGCATTGAAACTGGCAACCCAAACGAGAGAGTCATGTGAGGCTCATCCTGCTTTCTGATCGGAGAATCGTCTTAAACCAAAACACCAAATTATAACATAAACAACTTGTCCATCAGGTCCAGTGAGGGTGACCAGACATCCTGAAAAATTCGTGACACTCCCGAAATCTAAGCTGTTGTCCCGAAACACAAATCCAGCCCTAAATGTCCCAAAAATTACACTCAGAACACTGACAGAATACTGAGTAGTTATTTTCTGACAAACATTAAAAACTGTCGGTAGAGAGGATTTCTCTAGTGGCTGTGACGTCTAAAGCCGTGTGCACATACAAAGCATCAAATCGCGCCTCCCGCAGTCAATGCGCCGGTGAAACATTCGCTTGAAGCCGCTTCAGACACACGAATTAGAGGCTCTGCTCGCAAGGTGTTCATTCACCTTGGTCGCCTCCTACGTCACAACACGGAAGAGTGTTTGGAGCTGAGTGGAGAGCAGACAGGAAACAGAGACATGTGGTCAGGGGAGGCAGTGCCACAACCAAACTTTCCTCTACATTATGGCTTTGGTTTAGCTCACTATGTTAAGTCACTCCTCTTTAGTGCAGACGTTCCAGGTTCAAGACTCAGACTTGTTGTTTACGTTTTTATTTTATTCTTTCTTCCGTTTTGTGTGTGAACAAAAATTTCAGACAATCTCATCTGGTCACCCTACGTCCAGTGTTTTTGTAATTAAGCATAAATCAGCTTTAGAATTGTTAGTAAAAGTTGGTTTGAACATGTTTACCTCTTATCTGGGAACACAGTTTATGAAATTTAAAATCAAAACTGTTGTAAATGATATTGTAAAGAGTCCTTCTGAACAGTGTACATGTGCAGTGTGTCTGACCTGGGCGTGAACTTGAGCAGGGCCTTGAAGCTGGACTGAGCCTGGATGAAGCCGGTCTTTGGGAGAACCTCCATGTGTCTCCTCAGCTCTGGACAAACCTCAAACGTCAGCTTCAGGGCCGTGCTGGCTCTGGGGACAACAACAAATGAGACGATAACTGATACTATTTGGGCTGACAGTAAAGACTAGAGTTTATACACATGACTGGACTCTGTATGAAGCTGACTAGTATCAATCTAGATATTTTATGTACTTATAAGGAGGAGTGAAAGTGCAGCTGGGAGACATAGTATGTGTACATTCGTCCCTAACTATAGCAAGGTTCACCTTTTGAGGTCTCGCTATTTCACAGATTTTTTTTTAAGTGCAATTTTACATGCTTTTTTTTTTTTTTTTTAACAGCGTTTGAAGGCACATTGTGTTCCTGCCCCTGCGTCCTGATTGGCTAATGGACTGTAGACCATTGTCAATCAATCTCGTCTGTATCGTGTCTCCTGCACAGTACAGAATGCGTTCAGTTTGACAAATGTACATAAATGTTCGATCTCTATCAGTGTGATTCTGAAGTGCTGCATGTCTGCGAGTTTTCTCCCCGACAAAACCCACAGTGTCGACAAAACGTTCAGGACCGACAAAGATTCCTGCGGTTGCAACAAAAAGGCAGAGGAAGATCTAACCATCGCACAAAAAGTTGGACTTCTGGACACGCTGAAGGAAGAGAGAAGTTACGCGGCTGTAGGCGACATTAAGAAATAATTTAATCTTCGGTTCGTTCGGAAAAAAATAAGAAACAGCAACTGTCCTGTCTGAAAAAAGTGTATAAAGTTTGTGCTGAGGGATTTTACAGCCTTAAAACAGATAGAATAATTGTAAAAAATAAAGCTGACTACTTCGCGGATTTTGTCTGTTGCGGGTTATTTTTAGAATGTAACCCTCACGATAAAGTTAAGATGGAAAAAAAATTTCTCTTAAAATGACATTTCTGGACATAAAAGTAATATGTACTTGTGACATTGAAGCCTAAAAGCGCCTGAACCTCTAACGTCGCCGTAAACATCTTCTGAATAAAGTGTGATTAGTAGATTTTTTTCCTACTTGTGTCACAATTAAGAAAATAAAAGCCAACTCTGAGAAAATACTCTTTAAATACAGGAGAATAATGATTACTCAAATATAAATCATGTCAAAATACAACAAATGAGAGAGAGAATTTAGCACAATAGCTCTCCTTGAACATGTTTTAACAGGTGGGACGACCAGGCCAAGTTGCATCCTGCTTATGCTGCAGATTTGAGCCGCGCTGAAGACGAGTGTGGACACTGACCGGCTGTGCACGCAGATGGAGCGGTGGTAGGACTGGTCCCACACGCAGATCTTCAGGTCCACGTTTGGATGAGCGACCCACAGAGGCTCACTGACCGCCGAGGCCTTCACCTGGACCGGGATCTGTCACAGCAACGGAGTGAGAGGAACACAAAACAAACAACAACAACAACGGAGTGAGAGGAACACAAAACAAACACAACAACAACAACAGAGTGAGAGGAACACAAAACAAAACAAACAACAACAACAACAGAGTGAGAGGAAAACAAAACAAAAAAACAACAACAGAGTGAGAGGAAAACAAAAACAAAACAAAACAACAACAACAGAGTGAGAGGAACACAAAACAAACACAACAACAACAACAGAGAGTGAGAGGAAAACAAAACAAACACAACAACAGAGTGAGAGGAAAACAAAACAAAAACAACAACAACAGAGTGAGAGGAACACAAAACAAAACAACAACAACAACAGAGTGAGAGGAAAACAAAACAAAACACAACAACAACAGAGTGAGAGGAACAGAGTGAGAGGAAAACAAAACAAAACAACAACAACAACAGAGTGAGAGGAACAACAACAACAGAGTGAGAGGAATACAAAACAAAACAACAACAACAGAGTGAGAGGAACACAAAACAAACACAACAACAACAACAACAACAACATTAGACACACAAAAGTAAACAGAACAATAGTAATTCATTATAAACTGTCGAGTCAGACTTTAGCTAACATGCTCAAATAAAAACTTTTGGCAGCAGCTTTGAGTGAGGACCATTTCTGCAACCAATCTTAAATAAACCTCTAAATAATAATTAGGGCTGGGCAAAAATAAAAAAATCTTAATCGCATTAATCGCATGAGTTCCTGTGATTAATCATGATTAATTGCATGTTATACGCAAAACCAAATAATGAATTCAAAAGTAGCGTATAGTGACTTTTATTGGAAATGTAAACCAATGAGAACTTCGCACATCAGTTACTGGAGATGGTGCGTGGGAGGAGAGGGAGCAGCCCAAGAACGTGGAGAAAAATCCCACACACCGTCTTACTTGTAAATTGTGAGATTCATTAGGAGAAACCGTGCAACGTTTTGGCACTAGCCTGACGAAGGCCTAGTAGTAAATGTAAACAAAAGAGCCAAATTTTTTGTGCAAACAGCATTTCTTTCAACAGGAGCAGGGCTCTAGTCTGTAAAATCCATGTTTATTCTTCTTCCTTTAGAGAATCTCACTCAAAAAAAGAAGCAATTTCACTGCAGTTTGTCAATTCCTACAATTTGACTTAATGAATTGAATTGAAAAGTAAAGTGCACGTGATCAGCAGCAGTAAAAAGAAAGTATTCTTTTATTCTGAAAAAAATCAAATCAAACCAAATACAAAACTGAAATGTCCTGCCACTGCCAGAGCTTTAGTGTTTCCTGTTTGATATAAAAATGAGAATCTCAGTCAAAAACATTAAAATACAGAACCAGAAAACACTTTAGTGCAGTTTGTCAATTATTAGAACTTTTTTTTTTTTTTTTTACTTTTCTAAACAAAGCCAGTTGCTAAGGCATATAAGATTATTATTATTATTACCTTCGCCAAGGAGGTTATGTTTTTGCGGCGTTTGTCTGTTTGTTTGTCTGTTTGTTTGTCTGTTTGTTTGTTGTTTGTTGTTTGTCTGTTGTTTGTTTGTCTGTTTGTTTGTCTGTTTGTTTGTTGTTTGTTTGTCTGTTAGCAACATAACTCAAAAAGTTATGGACCGATTTTGATGAAATTTTCAGGATTTGTTGGAAATGTGAAAAGGAAGAACTGATTTCATTTTGGGGCTGATCCGGAAGAAATCCTGGATTCTGGATCACTTTGAAATTTTAGTTAACATTGTGGTAAATGGGGCCAAAAATTTTGTTTCTCAATATCTGGGTTAATTATTGACCAAACCCCATGAAATTTGACTCAGGGATGGACAATGGGATCCTCTTTCATATTCCAAAGGCTGATCCGGATCTGATCCAGAAGACTGATTTTATTGCAATTTATATAAAAAATGGGGGTAGTCCTTGGCGGAGGTCTGCGCTCTCTGAGTGCTTTTCTAGTTAAAAATGTGATCGCTGGCACCGGCTTCTCGTGGAAGAAAAGTGAGACTAGGGGAGGGGGGGGCGCGGTGGTGCTCCTGAAAGCTCTTGGTCGCTATGTGTTGTGTGTAATATGTGTATGCGGTGTGACGCCTCTGACTCGTTGTGTCTCTCGTGTTCGGCCGAAGTCTCTCTCCATTTGTTACACTGAATGTTTTGCATCAGCGGAGTGTTTTGCATTTATTTGATATTTCAGACTCGTGATGAGACAGTTCAGTGTTTCAGTTTTACAAATGACTTTGTCTGTGTCGACTGCGCCGTCTGAAGAACTTTAAAATGAAAATGTCCATGTAAAAGTTTCTCACCCTTTTCCATGTTTGTTTATCCCACTTTCTGTCTCTCTGTTTTCTGTGACGCCGCAGCAGTAAGAAATATTCTAGGCTCGAACATGATGGACTTTTTCAAAATAAAAGCCAGTGAGCAACAGACGTTTACAATAAAAAAATAAATAATAAAAACTGCGTCAAGGGGAGAAAAAAAATTTATGAATTAATTAGTTAACGCAAAATTAAGGCATTAACGTGCCCGGCCCTAGTAATAATGTCAGAGTATGTCCTCACCGGGGCGCTGCTCGGGTCAGAGAAGTGGATGTAGAAGGTGAGTCTGGTGTCTCCTGGGATTGTGGGTTTGAAGATGACGTCCAGTTTGGTGCTCTGAGAAGGTCCGACGTGGCCCTCAGTCACCTGCAGAGGAAAGATCTCAACTCAATGTCAGTCTACATCAAACAGAGAACTCAAAATGTACCTCCATGAGACCCACAAGACATTTATTTCTTATCCTCTTACTCGTATATTTCCTGTATTTTCAAAAGACATGCTGTTTGATGAGAAACATTAGCAACTACCAAATCTTTTATGGTTCAACATCAAAGAGAGAAGAGGCCATGTTCTTCACTCGTGCTTCAAAAGGCTCTTTAATACAAAACTCTAGATCTGCAGGGTTTGTGTGTTAAACATGTGTGAATGAAACTAAACACAGCTCCATGTATCCAGGTTTGTGATGATGAAGAATATTAGATCAGTTCAGAAGTGTAATAATCATGTTTTTTTAGAGGGACTTACACTTCCAAAATGCACATCACACGTGGCGTCAGAGGAGTCGGCGAAGTGGGAGGAGTCATCGGGGTGGGAGGAGTTACGGGAGTGGGAGGAGTCACGTGGAGTGGCGTCAGGGGAGTGGGAGGGGTCAGAGGTGAGCGGGTCTGCAGGGCTTTCTGTCTCTGCAGCACACAAAGAAATAAATAATAACATATTACTGTAAATAAAACCTTGAAATGTCATGGACTCAAAGCTCCAGACTGTCCTCCTCTGTGTTCAGGAGAAGAGTCTGTCTGTCCAGGCGTTTGAGTGACGTTTGAGTGACGTTTGAGTGATGTTTGAGTGACGTTTGAGTGACGTTTGAGTGACGTTTGAGTGACGTTTGAGTGACTGACCTGTTTGATGAGTCTCTGGTTGGTCTCCACTCTCTTGTCTCTTCTCATCGTCCACTTCAGCTTCTCCACAGTCGACCTCCTGTTTTTAAACACAAAACATGACATCAAAAACACAAACACTGGGAATAACCAGCCCCACTTCGTGTGAATGTTGGTGGTTTTGTCAGTCTGCCCCAGGACAGCTGTGGCTACAGTCAGGGCAGAGAGAGATTGATGAGTATGAGTCATGGCTGATGCTGAAACAAGAATCCACGGAAGCCAATGACGGACAAAATTTACCGATATTTAGGGCCGATATGTAGAGCAAATTATTGTTTTTCCCTAAATTATCTCATTTGAATTCACTACAGACTGGATCAGCACCGATATCCGATACCAGTATCGTCCAGGTTGTCTCTTGTTCAGCTCTGACTGAAGCGTGTACTTGGTCTGACTAAACTGACCAATCACAAAGCAGCACTGTGGTGTGTGGAAGCCAGCGCCGAACAAACCAAAACATCATTTACAATGGCAGCCTCAGGTGATGCAGAGAGTGTAGTGTGGTGGTCTGACCTGGGGGGTGGCAGTCGGGCCACAGGGAGCCCAGGAGCTGTGCTCTGGGCTGGTCTGGTCACTCATGTCCAGTCTGAAGGAGGAGCCCAGAGCCCCGCGGTTTATCAGAGTGATACAGCGAGTTACAGTCTGACCCACAACATGAGAACCAAAGTCCAGACACTGACTGTCCACCTCCATCTGCAAACACAGGGACATGAGAGGGAGTTTAAAGTAAAGCAGTAAAGTTACTCCTCCAACTGTGGAGAAAAAAGAACATGATAAATCTGGGATTTTCAGTATAGATGAGATGCCCAATCTCAATATTCTTATTTAGAGTAATATTTTACTTTTGTACATATTTTATCAGATTTATTTCACCAATAGCACTGATGTGGATTACTGGCACTGGTTTATAAACCATCCTTATTAAAAAAAACAAAAACAAAAAAACATGTTTTTAACACACATAACGTTTCAGACAAATTAACTTACACATACATTATAACTTTCCAAATACAAATTATTTAAAGTTTTGTGAACTACTCAGGCTAAGAGGTCCTAAAGCTCACAGTGTCACAGTATGTTAGAGTGTTTCAGAGGAGGCAGGAGACTGACCTGGCTCTTCTTGGTGGAGCATCTGACCGGGACAGAGAAGGACCCTGAGGCTGTGGAGAATCTGATCTCTCCCTCCAGATCCTCATTCACCTGGAAAGTTTAAATCAATGGGAGAGTCGTAAACACATCACTCACAGGAGAAACTTTAAATACTGTAAAGACATTTTCAGTAGAATTCTACAGTTGTTATTAACAAGTCTAAAAGGAAAGAGAGGAAAGGAGACCATGGTATAACGTTCCATCATCAGATCTTAACTGTATTTCTGTTGATTCATGTATGTTTGAGTTTAATCTTGTATTATCCTGTAATTTCTGTTTTCACCTTCCCCCTATCTCCACCTAAATATGAAATGTGAACTCTTTCCACTCACCTTATGGTTTGGGATTATAGTTTTTAACATTCAAAATCCTATCAGTGCATTTATTGTCGTCTCTTTTAAACAAAAAGTGCAAACGTTCACAAATAATCAGAATAGTCTCATGAGAACTTAACAGAACACTGGAGTTACATGATAGAAATTCTAAAATTCCATGACTTTTCCAAAACTTTCATTGAGTTTACAAAAACCCCTGACTTTTCCAGGATTTCCATGACCTCAGGAACCCTACATACACTTGGCAAATTCATAGTTTTGATGATTCAAATAGATGTATTTCATATTAACTTTGCACATGTGGTGGTTTTAACAAATAAATATTGCTGCTAAAATGTGTTTGGTTCTTAAAAAAACAACAATTTGAGTGTCATGTGCAATATTAAGATTATCTCCATATTTTAATAATATAGTATTGTGAGCCATGTATCGAGTATCGTATCGAATCCTGAGGGACCCTTTCTTTGACAAAAGAAAATCTCGATTGGGCGTCCGACTTACGTGTGGCTCAAAGACGACGTGCAGCTCGCAGGACATCCCAGTGGAGAGAAGACCAGGAGGCTCAAAACTGAACACAAAACACAACAACAGTCAGTCTGGACCTGGTCTCATTAAGTACTATGAGTTAATATAATAATTAGGGGTGTCAAATTATCGCGTTAATTGCGATTAATTAATTACAGTCGTATTTAGCGCGTTATGTTTTTTAATCGCGTTAATCTCATTTTTAATCTGTAACTTTACTGTTTCTGTATGTGAGTTGCTTTATTATAAAACCTGTTTTTATGTGTTGTTGGGACAACAACACACACACAAAAAAACACATTTATACTTTTTTTTTTTATTTCGGTAATTCCACTCATTGCCGGAAACCCACACAGAACGCGCGCAGTAAGAGCGATGTAAACGTCATGTTAACGTTGGCGGCGTCAGTCGCACAGTGGACGAGGTCGAAAAGCCAGTAGAACAGAGGCAGCAGTGCACAGGGAAAAACACATTCGTGTCTTGGAAATTATTCTCCCAACGTGAAATATTAAAGAAAATAACAAATATAAAATCGCCTACAACTTAAATGTCACTAGTGAAAACAACCTGCATAGGCTCATGATGTCTGCACTAACTGTCCTGCCACATGAGGGGACACGCACACAAACACACACAAACACAAACACAAACACACACCTTCATCATCGTCATTAACCTGAGAACGCGCGGACCACGTTTCCTTCCGTAGTTACTGCGTGGACACCGACGTGCTCCCGTGAGCCGCGTGTGGATCGTGTTTTCTCGTGTACGCTGCGTAAACCGCGCTTCCTCCTGTGCGCCTCTAAACCAGAACTAACACCAAGACTAAAACCAGGACTAATCCAGTCCAGGACTAAACCAGGTCTAAACCAGGACTAAACCAGAACTAAAACCAGAACTAAAACCAGGATTAATTCATTCCAGGACTAAACTAGGACTAAAGTAGGACTAAAGCAGGTCTAAACCAGGACTAAAACCAGGACTAAAACCAGTGATCTCATATATAAAGCATTTCTCTATCAATAATATTTTTAATATGGTTAAGGAAAGACTGGACTTTTTATTGTCTTTAAGTCGACAAAAGTTATTATGTTCAGATTTCCTCGTCTTTGCTACTTTACAGCAAACAGTTTCTTATTCATGGAGACTTGGGCTCAACAGCCAATTTGGAGAGATTTGTTAAACAATAAATGACTTTATAAAGTCACTTTTTTTGTTCTATATCAGTCTTTTGATCTGCCACAATAATGTAATAATGAATTTAAATGAAAATACCTCAAATTGAAGCTTTTCTCAGCAATTTTTAGGTGAGATTAAAATGAAATTAATGAGATTAATTAATTACAGATCATAATTAATTAATCTCTAAATTTTTTTAATCGCATGACAGCACTAATAATAATATAAATAAATAAATAATACCAACAGTAATAATACTCCTTACAACTGTATAATTCACCCTTGTAACAGATAATACTCCCTACAACTGTACAACAACTCACCCTTATGTAAAAGATAATACTCCCTACAACTGTACAACAACTCACCCTTATGAAACAGATAACCCTATGTCCTATTAAGAGTTTTTATTTCTTATTACTTATTTTTCTATTGTATTTTGACTTGTTCATTTACATTTATATAATTATGTCTTATTTGTCTACTTATTTAGAATTTATTAATAGCATTTATGTTTTTATTTTACTCTTTATTATTATATTATATTGTGACGTGTGAGCTTCTGCGTCCAAATAATTTCCCTGGCGGATGGATAAAGTTTAGGAACTGTAATGTACCTCTGCTTTAGTCAGACCTAAATGAAAAACATGTTACACTCAACAGATTAAACCCAAACTGAAGTTGTGTGTGGGGACGAGCGGCGTTCGGTTTGAGGTGTTAAGTGGAGCAGAGCACAGGGGACTCACTGGGGCCTATATAAAGCAGAATAATCTAGGCCAGTACAGTGAGCAGAGATACACACACAGAGTCTTCTATTATACATCCCCCCTGCTCCAGCACACATCAGAGTGAATGGATAAAGGAACGGGCCCGGGCTGGGATCACTATCAGGAGACACACACACAAGTTATTTCACCATTATGAGTTTTATTTAAGATTTAAAGTCACTCATGCCAGACATTTTCAACACCAGCGGCCATACGTAGGATCTATTCACGCTCACGGAAACAAACATTCCAAACATGTAGATCGCAACTTCTGGTGTAGTTTCCGACACTGGGCCCATAGATATAGAACAGTAGATCTCGGGTTCAGTCTCTTGGCGTGCGTTAATACAGCCGCCATCTTAGTACGGGGTCTAAAACTGGTCTAAAGCAGGTCTAAACTAGGTCTAAATCCACTCTAAACCAGGTCTAGCCCCGGTCTTGGTCTCCGTCTCCGTACAGAGTTGTAGAAACAGTCTAAACCAGGTCTAAGCCTGGTCTAACTCCAGTCTAACCCCGGTCTAAACCATGTCTAAACCAGGTCTAGCCCGGTCTTGGTCTCCATCTCCGTACAGAGTTGTAGAAACAGTCTAAACCAGGTCTAAGCCTGGTCTAACTCCAGTCTAACCCCGGTCTAAACCATGTCTAAACCAGGTCTAGTCCCGGTCTTAGTCTCCATCTTTATACAAAGCTGTAGAAACAGTCTTGCTCAGGTCTAAACCAGGTCTAACCCCGGTTTTGCTCGGGTCTAAACCAGGTCTAAACCAGGTCTAAACCCATTCTAAACCAGGTCTAACCCCAGTCTTGCTCGGGTCTAAACCAGGTCTAACCCCGGTCTAAACCAGGTCTAAACCAGGTCTAACCTCGGTCTTGCTCGGGTCTAACCCCGCTCTAACCTCGGTCTAAACCAGGTCTAACCCCAGTCTTGCTCGGGTCTAAACCAGGTCTAACCCCGGTCTAACCCCAGTCTAACCCCGATCTAACCCCGGTCTAACCTCGGTCTTGCTCGGGTCTAACCCAGGTCTAACCCGGTCTAAACCAGGTCTAAACCAGGTCTAAACCAGGTCTAAACCAGGTATAACCCCAGTATTGCTCGGGTCTAACCCCGGTCTAACCTCGGTCTAACCCAGGTCTAACCCCAGTTTAAATCAGGTTTAGTCCCAGTCTTGTTCTCAGTCTCCATACAGAGTTGTAGAAACAGTCTAAACCAGGTCTAACCCCAGTCTCGCTCAGGTCTAAACCAGGTCTAACCCCGGTCTAAACCAGGTCTAACCCCAGTCTTGCTCGGGTCTAAACCAGGTCTAACCCCGGTCTAAACCAGGTCTAACCCCAGTCTCGCTCAGGTCTAAACCAGGTCTAACCCCGGTCTAAACCAGGTCTAACCCCAGTCTCGCTCAGGTCTAAACCAGGTCTAACCCCGGTCTAAACCAGGTCTAACCCTAGTCTAACCCCGGTCTAAACCAGGTCTAACCCCAGTCTTGCTCGGGTCTAAACCAGGTCTAACCCCAGTCTCGCTCAGGTCTAAACCCCAGTCTAACCCAGTCTTGCTCGGGTCTAAACCAGGTCTAACCCCAGGTCTAAACCAGTCTAACCCCAGTCTTGCTCTCGGTCTAACCAGGTCTAAACCCAGGTCTAACCAGGTCTAACCCCAGTCTCGCTCAGGTCTAAACCAGGTCTAACCCCGGTCTAACCCCAGTCTTGCTCGGGTCTAAACCAGGTCTAACCCCAGTCTTGCTCGGGTCTAAACCAGGTCTAACCCCAGTCTTGGTCTACGTCGTCCGTCAGTCTTTGTTGATGAAGGACGTCAGACTGTGGACGCTTTAGTCTCTGTCCAATGAACCGCCCAGCTCCACTAAGCCCCGCCTCCACTGCCTTAAGCCCCGCCCTGCTGCCTTACACTGTCACTTACAGGCAGCTGGATGGAACTGTTAATCTGCCACATCTTTTTTTTTTTTTTTTATTAAGTTAGTGTGAAAAATCCCTCGGTCGTCCAGGTAGAATCCATGGCAAAGGAGAAATTCAATATGTCAACTGGACAAAAGTTTATTTGGTCAAAAACATTTCTCAGATGCTGGTGGACACTTTTTTATATCTGTCTGCAGGGAGGAGCTAACTACACTGAAACTACTCTGAAACTAACACATACCTGCCTTCATCCCATTAAAAAAAAAATTCAAATAAATAAACTCTAACAGGGAATATTAATGACCTCGGCTGCAGAGTATCAATATTCCCTTTGTAAGAAATTCCTACAGTGCAGAAAGATCAGCCCCTAATGTGTACGCTCCATAAACAGTGACGTGATAAATAAAAGATGCTCTGACGTTTGTTTACAGACTTAGACTCTGAGGTTTGGGGTTTAAACTCAATTATTTACGCTCTTTAATAATGCATATCTATAGGGACGGAGTGTGTAGTTATACCATAAAGATCTAAATGTGAATTTTCCGTTTGAGCAGAGATACTTTAAAGCTCCTTTAAGTCGCGTTATAATGTTGTTCCCTCGTCAAAAACAGACCCGGAGATGTGTTTTTTTTTATTCATGCACGTTTGAGTAACTCTAGATTATACTGTATTTATGATATTTGTTTTTTACTTACTCTTACTGTACATACATTTATATAATTTATGTCTTACTGACACTAGTCTCTGGTTATTTTTTGTTATTTATTTCTACTTATTTAGAAGCTTTACTACCATTTTTTATATTTTTTTACTCTTTGTCATTATAATAAATTGTGAGGTGTGAGCTGCTGTGTCCAAGTAATTTCCCTTGTGGATCAATAAAGTCTGTCTAAGTCTAAGGATTATTTGTCTGTCTGTTATCTCACACCTCAAACAACACGGATAGATAACACTGGAATCTCCTCCGTACACAGCAAAAACTGGAGGGTTAAAATTTTAGGGTGAAATATTTTTGTTTTTAACCACAAAAAGTTTTATTTTAACTATTTGAGAGTTAAATGCGGTTTAGAGTTGGGGTTATTTGCCGGAGTTGATATGGTTGAAGTTAATTCAACTTCCCTTAGTGTTAATTCAACTTCCTCGAGTGTTAATTCAACTTCCTCTAGTGTTAATTCAACTTCCTTAGTGTTAATTC